GGCCTGTTCTGTTGTACCAGTCTTTTACCTATTAGGGCTCGGGTATTCTACACTGGTATAAATCAAATTATGCTACCTATAATAGTAAGCAAAAAATGTAATCAAAAACATGAGTTTCTGGTTATAGCCTAATCGATTAATAAGCATACATAAGAATAGTGCCTCAATAATTACAGATTCATTTGCTGCAAATTATAATTTATTTTACTTTAATGATTTCAAGAATAAAGACTATCAGGTATCCAAACTATTTGTGTCAGGGAAATCATGATGAAAGCAACGCAAACAGAAAAATCTAGACGTTTGTATTTGGCAAGGGTTATCACCGGGTAAATATAATGTAAAATATGTCGAAACTAGTTGAATAGTTATTGGGTAACCATAAATAATAAGTCTGTAGTCAAAGTGGCTAATAATTTCTTTTCATTAACACTCTCTTGATATGTTTGATGAGCTTTTGTAAGTAAATTCTGTAAAGTAGTACACTAGAATCAAAAATATGCGGCATTAGTAAGAAATTAACATCTAATTATTTCCAAAGTCCGGTAGGCTCTGAAGTTTTTATCATATTTCTTAAATTTTTAAGAAACAAAGTTAATGACTCCTTAAAATATTGCTTTACTTATGGTATAATCTCAACACTATAATCATCGGGCAAAGCTAACAACTGAGTTTGCTAGTATTTACAACTGTCATGAGATATTTCCTGAATGCTAAATAATTTTAAAATGGGATGTGCTCAATTTTGAGTAGTTTAATCTACTAGCTACAGAATTTATATTAATGATCAAATGTATAAACATTTGCCGGCGTTGTGAGTCAACTCTCGAGACAGGATCTTGCTGATTCCCACCACCTCTTCCCCGATATCCCAGTTCCCTGCCATTTCTCAGACGCAGTCAACCCAACATGACTAAAAAATTTACGGGTTTCAACAGAGCAAATAGTTTTTTTGCTGCAAACGATAGGTAACTAGCACACGAATAAAGGACATCATGCTCAGTTTAATTTTTAAATCATGGTTTTAAAAGTTAATGATGGCATTCATTTAGAGTCCATTTATTTAATATTGATTTTCAGAGCCCTGTCAAAAGGAATATTGTTAAGCCTTGATTTAATTTCCATCACCAACGTATTTGGGCAAAGGTTCATAAATCCCATCTGGTTTTCAGTTAAAAATGTAGCTAAATATCAACCTCAAAATAAATCATTTGTGTCACGGTTAAATTCAAAATACCGCATACGCGTGCCCCAACTGATAGTTTGACACATCTTTATTGTGTTAGAAATAGTTTCTTGGTCTTTTTTTCAAAATCAAGACATATAAATTTTTTTAAGTTTAAGTTTAGAGTACAAAAAATTACATATTATTTAAAAAAGTCATGAGGGTTACTAAGTAGTCGAAGTTGATGTTAGAGTTAAGAGTCATAAAATGCGGGTGTCGTGAAATATGTTTGAATTTGGTGCAAACAGGAAATCTTTATTAAAATGCCTTGGCCATATGTGCACCAAACCCACTAAGCCTAATCGGCAATGTTACCAACAAGCAGAAATTCAGGGGATTAATCGTTTCCAAGAAAGTCCAAAATAATTTTGAATTAGTGGATATTCATTAAAAATGAATTTGAATTTTGTGAGCATGCACATTAGGTTGTTAGATTCTTGTCGGTTGTGACCATCAGACAGCTATATGAATTTGATTACGTCAAATTTAAAACTGAAGGCGATGTTAATCCAGTATACCTGCAGACTTATGCTAATTAAATAATAAGGGATTAGAGGTCAGCATTTAGGGATAAGTCACTGTAATCTAGATACAAAATAATTTTAATGAGGCACTGACTTTCCATTAAGTGAACGAGTAAATTACAGTAAGTAAGTGATTTGTCAATAATTCAGGAGCAAGGTATTGCTAAATATGTTCATCCCAAACGAGGATGATTAGCTTATTTCGCCAAATAGTTGTAAAAAACAATTGTTAATTATTCATGTTTACTATGAATATAACACATTTAATTATTACCCATCAAACAAAAAGATAAAAAATGTTGTCTTGTTCAGTAAGTCAATTTTTACCATTTCGCATTAAAAAAAATTTTAATTTTTTTTGTAGAAATGTGTTCGGACACTTTTGACGGAGAGACTATGTAAAAGGTAAATCAAAAAGTCCATTTAGTAAATTTGAGTTTTTTGCCAATGCGATATTAATCACGAGTATCAAAAAAAATCATATAACGTAAAATACTGTCTTTACAGCTTAATGACTGTTAAATTGTAAAGCAGACAAAATTCGAAATATTTTCAAACCAGCCATCACAATCTTATGTCTCCTGTAGATTATTTCGTTAGGCACTCAGTCTCAGAAACTAAATTCTTGAATAGGTACTAAATAGAAAACAAAAATTAAAGAACACTTTATTCTACCGGATGAAGACTTCAATTTTATTGTCCACGTCTCATGTAAAAGTACAATAAAAATCATACGTAGCTTATAAATTGCATCACCTTTGTTAGCTCATAAACATTCCAAGAATTTTCTTTCAAAATAACGAATAGCTTCCAGTAAGGAATGCCTTTAATTTTGCATGCATAGGACACCTAAATCTGTCTTCTAATATTGTCTTTTAGATTTTTAAAACTGTTTCCGTTGGTTCATTTTTACACTAATAATTATTTTCTTTTGATCATTGATTTCACTGTGATGGAAATCAAATATTTCGGAAAAAATCTCCAATTTTTTTTTATAATGCCAAATTTCAAGCATGTGTACTAAAAATAAGTTAAAACAAAAAGAATGCAAACGGCCGCCATTAGCAATTTTGTTTGTTATAATAAACAAAAATCAAGTCTAAGCGGTGCTAATTCGAAAAGTTTTCTTCAGCCGCGTTGGGATTATTTCGTGTTAGTTTCGTGCATTCCTCTCTCATCGTCAGGGATTTTCTTATCGTGAATGTTTTTTATTGCTTTTTCTTTTTTCGGCTGTCAGCAAGGCATGATTAACACCAGATACAGAGTTTCTTGTTTGTAGAATTTCGTTTGACATTTTTACGGACCATATTGCCTCATATATCGTACGGAGCACTTGTTTCGATCATCTCGATTTTGTGTATCAAATTTGATGGTTGGCCTAATTTTTCTGGGCTTTTGTTCCTGTTTCGTCACTAAGTGCATCTGACTCGTCTTGTATTAATCGCACTCAGCTGGTCTTTCTCCCAGAAGACTCAAAAAATCGAATGATTTTTTTGTTTTTGAAGTGTATTATTATACTATATGAGAACATAAGCTAAACATATATTCTTCTTTGTCTCCTATTGTTTGGAGTAATGTTCTCTTTTGAGATTATTCTGTTCCTAGTGTTTCTAATATTTGAGCGCTACTGTTATACAAGTGGGTTTTGCGCATTTGATCGCCAATGTTAAGTTTTCAACCTTATCAATATTTTTTTATTTGCAATTTACCATCAACTTCGAAACGTTAGACGATATTCCTCAACTCCATTTCCCTTCCCTGGTTTGATTGAACCAAATCATCCATAGGTTATTATTCTCTACAGCATTAGTTTAGGTTTCCGTGTTTATCGAAGATTTTGCCAGTTTGTGTAAAAGCTAACGTTTAAGTTGTTAGTGGCTAACACCGAACCACAAACACCCGTCAATACATTGTTTCCCTCAAGGTCGCAACATCGATCATGTTTTTCGTCTACTTTGGAATTTCATGTATTTAAGGTAAATCCCCCCACTCATTAACCCATTGTATTATTTTCATCTTCTGTTTTGTAGCAATTAACTCCTCGTTTATAACTACGATGAGTGAACTAGATCAACTTCGGCAAGAAAGCGAACAGTTGAAGAATCAAATCAGAGTAAGCTGCTCGTGTTGCTTGGTTTTATCTTTTTAAATTCCTGGCTATAATTTTTCATGGGTTAAGTATCCCTTTTGAAGACCCAAGTGTCTTCTTCAAACAGATTTCAACTTCAGATTCACTAATCACCGAAAACGCTTTTATCGTCCACCATCATCCCTGTTTTTTAGTAGGGAGTTTATTTTTGCTAGCATGTTTATCTTGACCCATTTGGTGTGTGTATTCTTTTTTTCTGCAAAATCTGTTACTTTATTTTTCGAATCCTGAACTTTCGGTTTTCTATTTTCATAAATACTATTTTATTGATTAACAATTTGCCAAGGTTAATCTTTATAGTACCTTTTGTTTGTCCTTGCGCTTTTCGCGGGGTTCAACCAATGGCGCAAAATGTTCCACCACCTTTGGTAATTTGACCCTGGCTCATTAGACTTTCTGCTTTTACAAGTATACCATTACTTCTCCCATTAAGACATTGATAGTAACCAGTCGGTTTCGGCTAGACCATTACAAGACTGGTTCCTTTTGTGGGCTTTTATACAGTTTTTGTGGGATTCTCAAAAATTTAATAGAATTTACACATGTTTCACTGTTGTGTGCTATCAATTTAATCGTTTCAGGAGGCGCGCAAAGTTGCTGCTGACACGACGTTGGCGCAGGCAGCGGCCAACGTGGACCCTGTTGGCCGCATTCAAATGCGAACTCGTCGTACCCTCAGAGGCCACTTGGCCAAAATCTACGCTATGCACTGGGCGACCGATTCACGCAACCTGGTGTCTGCCTCGCAAGATGGCAAACTCATTGTCTGGGATGGCTACACCACCAATAAGGTAAATATCTCACATATTGCTGACGCCGGTTCCCATTTAAGTGCCACGGTTGATTTGCATCATCCACTCACTTCCTCATGGCCCAAAAAAACTGTGCAGAATTGTTAATTCGAGTATTTTTTCCGAATGGAATTTTACTAAACGATAATTTTGGAGCCAGATCTTTACATTGATGTCACTGTGTTTTGACGGTCATCAAATTGCTCTGCAATTGTTTTCGATCATTGAGATAGGTTGAGTGCCAAGCTGGGTAGGTTGTCAGGTTAATTTCCTCCGTTGCTTTAATTCAACTCTCCAGAAAGCTTTGTCGCCAAAACTGAAATTTTCATTTTAAATAATTGGTAGTTTTGCTATAATAAGTTCGCATTTTTGAGTATAGTAGTGGAAATATCTAGCAACGTGCTTTTTATATAGAGGGGCTTACGGTGTTCCCCTCATGCTTTACTGCAGAAAAAAATATTTCGAAACGTTTTATGCCTTTTTATCTGTCTGGCTCTTTAGCTCTCTTTTGGTGTTTCTAAAAGGCGGACCCTACTACCGTTTTAACCGAATCGCTTGTACAATCTTTTCTGCTACCTTCGCTCTGAGTTACAGCATGTTGATATTCAGTATTCAAGACCTTGCCCTTTTCATTTTTAGTGTGGGGTATATACTAGGCGCTCTTTCGATGTTCAAACCTATCTTTTAGAAATCGATTTTCTCGCCGCTTTTAGTGTTTAATAGTTGTTCATCAGGCTGTAGAGCCAGATTATTGGAGTTGATGGGATCCAGCCTCACAGTGAAACGCCCAAACTGCCAGTCAAGAACGTCTTCGTGATCCCGTGCTTTGGGCCTGATTATACCGTCTTTAACACTTTTACTTCCCGCTTCAGCGACGTTACAAAAGCGGGATTCAGATTTTTCTATTTCTGATCTTTCACCGCGTCAGTTGGCATCGATTTTCGAACATGCCCATGGTCAAGCATATCTGGAGTAATTCGTTGCCTTCTTTATGTTAATATAACTAGAATGCGGTTTTGTTTCGTATATCTTTAAAGGGCAAACAGAAATGAAGTCGCGAGGTAATTTGCTGTCCATGTTTTCGTTTTTCGTTGGATTGTTTTCATTTTTGTTGTGTAACATGTGTTTCGCCGCTAATTTTTTTTAATGTTTTTATCTAAGGTCCACGCGATACCTTTGAGAAGCAGTTGGGTGATGACCTGTGCTTATGCGCCGTCGGGAAGCTACGTGGCTTGTGGGGGTTTGGATAACATTTGCTCCATCTACTGTCTCAAGACACGCGAGGGGAACGTTAGGGTCAGTCGAGAACTTCCCGGACACACTGGCTACCTCTCCTGTTGCCGCTTCCTCGATGATAACCAGATTGTGACCAGTTCTGGAGACGTTACATGGTACGTGTGTTTTAATCGTCATCCCTTTGCTTCATATGAGTAACTTGTAAATCAAATTACTAATACGTGGTCGAATTTTGCTTGGTGGACTAATGCCTCTTACGAGCATCCTTTTCGCTAAAGGTATTCTCTTTTCCTATGCAATGATGCTAAATTATCGGAGTGTGAATCATCTGGCTAGTCAAGTATAACCACTCACCCAAGACTACCATCATTGGATATATTCTTAGGCTGTAGTCTCCACTCACTTTATTAACTACACCTGGTGACTACTCAATGATTTCGTTATTTGAGCTAAAATAACGAAAATTCCCCTATGATATCGGTTCGTCGTTATGCACCTTACACAGCCAAACACGTACCTTTATGCCGCGTCCTTTGTTTCTGCTCCTAACTGGTCTATAAACAGACCTGGACCGAGGTTATTCCGTCAATCTAACATGGTTCCTGAATTTCTCATGCTTTTTTCTAGAGGGTGTGACGTGGTGGTGTGTCGTGACTTGGCCACTCTTTTCTATGCACCAGAGTTCATTTGCGGTTAACTTCGTCGGTGTGAATACCGTGTAATGCCGACCAAGTGATCGTGTCGCGGGCCAAGCACCTTTCGCGTCCTTTAGACCACTTTGGTATTGAGAGACTGTGGTGTTTTTTTTTAGGAATCTACTGGTCAGTTTGTTCACGTGACCCTGATTTCGTGGTACACTGTCTCTGTAATATCTCTTTTCAGCTCGGCATCCTTTTCTACTTTACGGGGTTTGGATAAATATATAGAATTTGTGTGTCGGTCTGTTAAAAAATTTCCTAAATCGCCTTTGGACATTCCGCTGGCAACAGCGTGCGGATTTTCACATAAACTTAAAGATTGCTTATATGCATGAGTAAATTTGTGTGGCTGCCTCTTTATGGGCGTTTTCGTTAGAATGAATAATCAATTACTTGGGTCTGGTTTTTCGGAATCCAACCAAAAGCACCAATTAACTAGCGAACCGCCTTCACAGCCGCAGTTATTAGGGAATGCGCTATAGGCAAAGCAGATTTGTGAAAGTTGAAATCTTCGCTGAGACTTGATCTGTGTATATTGGTGCGTAAGGCGACCCGTCCTCTCGTGGCATGAAACTGAAGGAGGGCTAGTCAAACCACGAGTCTGATTCTTTTTTTTTCGTCGGTGCGGTGCGTGGAGATTTAGATCAAGCCTCTAAATAGTTTTTATGGTAATAGAACCGTCTGCGGGCTTCCTCATCACGTATTATATCAGCGGTTCCGATATTGAAAACGTGCGCAGCGTGCTCTTTTTAATTATACCACAAATTGAGCCATTTTAAGTTCTCCACATATTTCCTCTGTATCTTTCAACCAATGTTAATTGCTATTTATAACATTTTAATCTTCAAATTTTTCATAATTTTTGTTTGCTTTGACTTAACACTTTGAAGAGAGACTGCTGTGTTGTAGTAAATGTGCGTAGAATCATATAGAATCCAATGTGTTGCGGTGGTCACCACATGCATCTGTGTGCAAAAGCGTCTGCACACATTCTAAATTCTGCGCCTTTCAGCGCGTTTCATTTTTTAGCCTGACAAACGGTGTCACGAAAAGCGACGCATTGAAAACCGAGGTTGGAAGTTGCCTTTTAAAGTGCCCACCTATTAAATGGTGGCACAGGGTTATAAACAATGGTGTATTGCATGGTGTCGGCCTCTATCGACCGAAATTATGTAAACACCAGCCTTGTACTGTGCATAATCAATCGATCATTTTCGACACGTGTAATTTCGTCCATTTCTGAAAATTTTTTTTGTTTGTTGTTTATATCATCAAGCATCACGTGAGTAGGCTATTCACTTATTGCTCTTCGTGCGCAAAGCAGAACACTACATTGAAATCGAAACACTATTTTCCTAGTTATTTTTTTTGAGAATTTAACATCGTTTTGTGAGGTGACGTATTAAGAGTGCGCCTGTATGTTGTCTTTGTTCCCTTTTCACCACTTGTCTTTTTGGATTTTGTGTAGAAGTGCTCTTTGTGTAAGCGGTTTAATGGGCTGAAAATTCTGGTATTGGCTTAGTCAAGCCGGAAGCTTTTTATCGCTCCTTTCAACTGTCGGTCTTGGATGTCTTCGTTAAATTTACCCAATCCAAACTTTCCCAACTCTTTTAGCAAACAAGGATTCCTTCTGTAGAAAAGGCCACATTGAAATGCAAATAAGCGTTGCAAACTTTTTTGCCGTCATACATGAGTATTCTCCTAGTCAAACTAATGTACAATCTGGGAAACATAGAACTGTAGCACAGTTGAGTGCGCTTCCACCCGTCTGCCTTGCAGTGGACTTCTGCCTTTGGGTCTACCTACCTCAAACACGTTTCTGACATCTAAAAGGGAACATCCGTCGCCAGTATCACGTTGATCTAGTCACTCTGTAACTTTACCCTTTAGTGCACTCTGGGACATCGAGACAGGTCAGCAAGTGTGCGGTTTTACTGGCCACACAGGCGACGTTATGAGTCTCAGTCTCTCCCCGGACATGCGTACCTTCGTTTCTGGTGCCTGTGATGCATCCGCAAAGGTCAGTTGTGCTTGGTATTTTTGTGTCCAAAAACTTCTGGATGTGTTTTTCTCGATGCAGGTAACGTGCTGCAAGGAGACACAAGACCTTTCTGAAGTCAACTCTCTGTTCTGCCAATCGCTTCATAAAGTTTCTCGATATGGCTAGTTTGGTGATACTTCATGATGCTTGTATTCATTTTGTGCCCCACCCTAGCTCATCTCTTTCTGCAACCGGAATTCCAAGTTCTTATGGGTTAGATTCGTGTTGGGGTAGTTAAATGTTTGCTGATGGAACCCACCATTTTGTGTAATTTGTAGCACTCCAGACACACTCCTATGTATTGTGCCAAAAACTCTGCATCTACGCTTGTCGATTTAGATCACCCTTCAGCCCGTTTTTACCTGCAGACTAAGTAACTTTTGGAGTAAGCTTCCCATGCTCTCTGGTGGCGATCGTATTTAATTTTCCACACAACCGTTCTCATACCATCTATTTTACTTACAAGTGTCTATTTGTACCGTCATTATTAGGCCCGCAACACACCCTTAACCAATTACGCCAAGCAGCCTTCCATCAGTCTTGGAAAAGTGTGTTCGGATCGCGGCGGCTGTTGCGCGGTCATCGCCGGTGACCTATTTTCACATTGTGGGCCTTGACCTTGGGCGGTGCTCCACCTGTCTAGTAGTCGGTTGACACAAGAGTTGGCTGTGCGGCGCGACCACGAAGCAGCCCTCCCACTCTAGAGCCAACTCAACTACATGTGCGACTATTGGTCTCTGCTAACACTACGCCTCCCTCTTCCGCAGATTTATATCTCGAGATTATTGCTGGGTCACTGTTTAGTCGGTGGACCTCATGCCTATTCGCTGGTTTGTAGTATGTAGATAGTCTATGTCGACCCGTTGTGGAGCGTTTACGTGAGATCTGTATCTCAACGCTTCCTGTCAAAACGACTAGCTCTTGTCACCGTCATTGATGTCCTAGGACACAGCTCTGAGGAATAAAAGTTTACTTATTTGATGCGTTCCCGTTCCAGCTGATTTACTTCCATCTACACTTGGCTTGGTCTCGTCCAATGGGACCCTCCAGCACCACTGCCGTGTTCACGTCATTGTCATGACAAAGAAATGTCAATCCAACTTTCGGTCAGAATTCGCCATATCATCCCACCTCCTTAACCACCTAAACGGTGTCTCGCCGAGTGTTTATTTGCACCCTAACTCTCGTTTTGGGGTCAACCAAAAATAGCGCCAACGCGTTGTAGGTGAAAAGCACAAACACCAGAACTATTCGCGCCCGTTGTGTGTGTATGTGTGTGTGTGTGTGTTGCACGCGCACTAAAACACGTACAGCAAACGTCCGCTGGCACTCATGCCCCAATTGGCTTTTCGACGACATCAATTTCCCAAGCTCTCCTGGTTACACACATTACACACGCACCCTTTGCTGCCACATGCGCGTCATCATCCTGCCAACACAGCCTCCACTGGCTTTCAGCGTCTTGCTGCACCGCCGGCTTGGGCGTGCGCGCATCGGCGCGTGCGTGAATGCGTCCATCGATTGGGCGGTGTGGAGGCGCTGTGTTTTGGGGAAAGGTAGGCTTCGCGCGTTCGTGCGTTCTTGCCCGTGATTGGAGGAGCTCGTGTGCGTATGTGAGAGGTGAATCTGCTGCTTCTGCTACTGCGCTCTAACTCTACACTGCACACTTCGTTGTCTCTCCCTCTTCTAGGGAGAAGTAGAGGTAGACCTATCTAGGTTTCCCAGGCCAGCTGGCGCTTGGCCAGACTATTTCGTGCGTGTGCGTGCGCGTGTGTATGTGCTCATATCAGCTAGAGCAGCAGCCAAGGGGACTTCTGTGCCTCAAGCTCCAATGCCGTCCATTTTTTCCGTGGGTGCTAGCGATGCACTTTTATGCAGGATCCGGAAGTTCAATGAATTGCTTTTGCTGACTCAGTCTTCGAAAGTATGCGCTCAAGGAAGCGCAGATAAAGCCTCGAACATAGAATGTTACTTAGACCGACCTGTAGGTCGCCCACTGACTGAATAGTAATTGCAAAATTCTGATCAGATGTTTTCTCAACTGGCAGCACAACCCTTAGTTTAGTGAAAGGCAGACTTCCAGTTTAGTGGAAAATGGATGTTTTAGACCTCATTCTAGAGTAAATGACTATTATTTAGAATGTCGGGTAGATTTGATCAATCTTGGCTGCGTAAAATATGATACCACAACTATGTAGAACTTGAAAACTCAAACAAGCCTACGAGACCTTCCTCCTTGGAAGCAGTACCATATTCTACAATTAATACTTGTATACTTCATTGGTATTTAACAACCACTGTAATCTGGTGGATACGGGTAATCGGTTGTCAACACGATGTCACTAAGATTTGAAGCATTATGTCGCTAAATGCGGCAATTCATTCCAGGGGCGTGTTGTGGCCTAGAAAAAATCTCAAACTCAAAATTGATTTTGTCACACGGTGCATTCAATAAAGTCGTGAGATAAATTTATCCACTTTCCGCTTTTTTTGTTACCTTTTTGTAGAAACGTTTGTCAGACTTTGAGATTTATCCTCGGTTATTAGTTTAACAAAATTATATTGTGAACTGCCAGTCCTAGCTTTTTTCTGCAAAGCATCTGGCACGTCATGAAGGTTTTTTTGGCCGGTGTTTGTTTTCTTATTATCCTAAAGGAAAACACCCCAAACCCCCAGGAAATGCACTGTCCGGAGCGGACGTGTTTGACGATGCACTAAACCATATACTGCGTTGAAGACTTGATGTCTAATCACTTTTCAATGTTTTATCAATCCATCTACCAATAAAGTAAGGCTCCAAGCTAATCCGAAATGGGTAAAATTGCTTATCTCAAGTACGGTGGATTAATGTGTAAGCAATTGTTGGAATGTTGAAATTCTGACATTGAATTGGCGGGATTGCTGTCTATGGCGGTACCGAATTGCTGATTCGCTGATTTTATGATTAACTCGGACGTCATTGGGATCTAAAGGTTGTTATTTCCGCGAGATGGTTGGCCGCTACATTTGAAATGACTCACTGTGGTCTTTTCCGTTTTAGCTGTGGGACATCCGGGATGGCCAATGCAAACAAACTTTTCCAGGTCATGAGTCGGACATTAATGCAATCACCTTTTTCCCAAGCGGCTTTGCCTTCGGCACTGGTAGTGATGATGCAACCTGTCGCCTCTTTGATATTCGTGCTGATCAAGAGGTGGGTATGTTCTCACACGACAACATCATCTGCGGTATCACCAGCGTCGCTTTCAGCAAGAGTGGGCGTCTCTTGCTCGGCGGATACGACGACTTCAACTGCAATGTCTGGGACACACTCAAGCAAGATCGGGCTGGTGCGCAAGTTTCCTTATGCGTAACTCCTTCTGTATTCTGATTAAACTTCCATTTCGGGGAGGTCGTGTAGTCCAATCACCATCCTTCCTCTAATTCAGATGATTTATTTTATTCGGCTTTAAGTTTCGAATGCGTACATTGACCTTAGCAAATGCTAATCTTTTGGACAGTTTCTCGATCTGAGTCACATGTTTGAATCACGAGCATTCTAGTTCTCAAGGTACCGGGTTTCTAATTTGCGCCACTTTGGGCGTAATGCGATCGCATTTGCGTTCCACTTTTTTCGACTCAACACCTCATGAGTTTAAGCTGATTCCGTTTCGCAACATCGATTTGTGCTAAAGTCGGGTGTTGTGCCATAAGGGAGTCTACTTCTACTGTGTTTTTTTCCAATGTATCTGACTTCTTTCCTACCATGGACACGACTTATGCTGTAAAGTACAAGAATGTTCGCCATATTTCGACTATCGGCTGCCATGTCGAGTCGAGAATCAACGCAGAGTGACATTCTGCATTACTTTGAGTAGGTAGAAAATCATGGTAAAGATTGATGGCTGTAACGACACTGGAAACGTTTTGCGTTCTGCTAAGTTCGCCATTGTCTGTGCTCATTTTGTTTCCCATCCTGAATAATGTTGCGTAATTTTGGTACTTTAATGCCTTTTAACAAACAAGACGTACTGCTTTGCATGTGTAATTCCGGATGGTTTTCTGACTGATCTCCGCTGATTTTTCTTTGTGTGTCGGCGCTTACGACACCTTTTAATGACGTTCTGTAAACTTAACACTATGTAATTCATTCTAATCCTTTGGCTCACTGGCACGGTTCTCTCCGAACGCTCCCAGTTGCTAGCCTTGTATTTGTCTATCAAGTTATTCAAAGTCAGAGTCCTGGTGCTTCTATGGTGGCTACGGCCTTACCCTCGCCTTGTTTATGCACATTCTTTTAAAGGAATAGTCCTGGTGCCCCCCCTCTCCACACACACACAACTGGAGTCGGGTTGCTCTTCATTGGGAATCGAGACATCCACAAATTTACTGTCTTAACCGCTTTTCAACACTTAGCCCATTGTTCAAATTAATCCTCTGCTTCATTCTACGAGGTTCTAGTTTTTTTTGAAAATCGTGGTTTGTCATCTGTTATTGTTTTTTAAACTAACTCTCTTTGCCCCCTACTCTGAGCACTCTCAATTTGCGGCTTTCATCTGCAGGTTCCACGATCCATATCGTGATCCCAATGGGTTTGCTAATACTATAGTGGTATGTGGTGTATACTTCGCATTTTAGGCGTTCTTGCTGGTCACGACAACCGCGTGAGCTGCTTGGGCGTATCAGAAGACGGGATGGCTGTTTGCACTGGTTCCTGGGACAGTTTTCTTCGAATTTGGAACTAGGACTGTGGCGGTGGCGTCGAGGACCGCAAATTTGTGTGCGCGTTTTCTCTTTCTCCATTTCGCTTACACGCCGCGTCGATTATGAGTGTCTGGTCACATTTCCCCAAGATTTCAACTCTTCACCGCTCCCGATAATCATTTCACCTCCCCTACGCCACCAGCCCATCTTTTTCTCCGATTGTACCTTTCCTCCGCACTTGTCGGGCAAATGTGATGATAATACCCCTTGCCCCCGCATTTCTCGCATGCCCACCCCCCCTCCGAACTTTTTCTGTGTATACATGCCCCTTATCGATCCCATCCACCCCTGATCGGTGCTGCTATAAGTACTCTTTTTTTGAGATCCTGTGAGTCTACCTTCGCGTCCTCACCCCCTCTCCGCCCACAAGTCTCCTTTGTGTGTGTGTGTATGTGTCGTCGTATAAAAATGTAAATTTGACACATGTGTGCGCGCGTGTTCGCACTCCCCTGCTTTGCTATCTTACCTCTCCTGCTTTTTGTTTTGTTTTCTCCCACCCAGGCGTTTTCTTTTGGTTTCAGTGGTGACCACGAAGCTTAGGTACCGACCCACAAACAAACAAAATCCACCACGTTCACGCACACTGAACCATCGATCCCCCCTCCACCGTTCCCACACGCGCTGGCGATCTAAAACTGTGCCTTCGCCCTTGTGTGTGTGTGTGTGCGCGCGTGTGTGTGATAATGATTAATGTCTTTTCTTCTTTACTCCGTGTGTCCCGCGTGCGGGGTGGATCTAAATTACCCCGCTTTCCCTGCGGAGCTTCCACAAGTCCCCCACACCGCATTCTTACATCTCCCTTTACAGGTGTTGTTATTTTTGACAAAAATTCACTCAAAAAAGAGCACTGCGCGTACCCGCGACACAACCCACAAACCGATTTTCAGTGCAATAAGCTTTCTCTCTTTGTCTCTCTCGTGTGCGCGCGTTCCCTTTATGCAGGCCTCCCAACGATAGTTGCGTCGCCATGGTGAAGACGCTAACGAGCGAGGCTTGTGCGCGCCCGGGTCCAAGTACCGCAGCGCGCGCGCACGTTCGCGTTCCCCACTTCGATGTACCTGCATTTTCTCTCAATCTCACTGTAAAATGTCCTGCAGCAAGCAACTTGCGCTAGAGCCTCTTTCTCTTGGTAAATTAATTCTATAATAAGCTGTTGACCCAAAACCCTCGAGTTCCATTTCTTTCGCTTCGGTATCGTGATCGTGGTAGTCGGAAGCCTCCGAAACATGGCTAGCAGGGGAAGTAATCTACCTGGCTGTATAATGTAAAAGCGCATGTTTCGCATCTTTATTTTCGGAATAAAGCAACCATGGCCTGGTTTTCTAGTACCCAAGTTGTGCGGTTAGATTCGTGGGCTTACTTGGTGCGCGATTTCGGACCATCGTGAGTCGATTCTTTTTGCAAACAGTATCTGAACAATGCTTTGTAGCACTTAATCGGATTGAACCTGGTCTCCTTACATATTAAGTGTGTGGCGGTGACTTGCCAATCAGTGCCGGTGCTTTTATCTTCTAAAATCGTCCACATTTGATGCATCAGGTAGTAGCTTTGGCTGCTGACTAACACTAGATCCTGATTAGTTTGTCGAAGTTTAAGTATTCAACACTAGGCTAAACGCCGCGGGCGCCCGATTCTTCGTTACGCCTTTGGAGCTTTCAATCTGGAGTCTAGGAAATGTCTAGTCCCTGTGGCTTGACAAAATCCGGATCGGAACCCGTTTGTGCTTTGTCTTTGACCGTGACGTTCACCCACTTGAGGACAGTAACTTGAGCGGAGATACCTCGTAAACAATACCTGCTTTACGGCATCAGTCACCGATGCGGCCTGGATCGAAATATTATAGCCGCTAGTTGATTTATTTCAAAGGATTTTTTCAATCCGTGGCTGTTACAAATAACGTGGTTGCATGTTCATTCGCCGTGCTACAAATGCAAAGGTAGGTAGTAAATCAAGGTGCTCACTTTCTTGCGTGAGTCGTAGGTTACGCAAGGTTTAATATACATACGAAACAGAACTGGCTTGATAAGCCCACTCGCCTATCAGAGCCAGGAAGGTAAATATTGGCCTTGCCTGCAGGGGAGAAAGTGCAAATTGGAAATCAAAGCTGGTGGCAGATATAATTACCACACGTTCAACTGATTATGGATCAAACCGTGTTAATGGCTGCACTACGGTCGCGTTAGATGGCAGTTGCACTGTCAATTGACTGCGTACCGCGTCGTTTCACCATGGCTAACACCTCGGCTGCCGGTTGGGTTGCGTAGCGACCAAAGTGTGGTAAGAACTCCCAACGGAGACGATGCAATCTGTCATGTCTATCTTGATGTTACTGTGGTGCTGAGAGTACTTCTACGCCTACCACCAATAGTTGGGTGTGTAGACGATACTAGACCCGCAGACGTCAATCCAGGTCGCTGGCAGGTACCCTGCTCTGTTAACCGAGGTAAGTAAATCGTCGATTTAACAACCACTACTAGTCAGTATTACCATTTTTTCGTGTGAAAGGGAAAAGTGGCTACTGGTTGATGCTCAGGTTTGAGACTTGAGATTACTCACAAAGTATTACTGGGTCCTTGGCTGTTCCATTTTGAAAAATGAAAATGTGGCAACCGAGATTCTGTAAAAGTGTAATGCAGCCACAGTCACTGCCTTAATCGTTTCGTCACTTAATTGAAAATTCAACACTGCTGTTCCGCTTCCTGTACACAGGATATGGAGTCTGCCATTGCCACTCCACTATTCGCTGCGTTTTCGGTACAGTTGCCACATGGGTGGAATCACTAAACTGCACTTATTTTGAAGAAGGAGTATGTTTACAACGCCTATGTGGGACATTTTTACTTTACCCATACTGAATAATGCGCATATATCTAAGAAGTCTATTCGAGATCCGTTTGTAAGAACTGTTAAAATCTTATCTAAGCAATTCACTGGCATAGAGATGTCCTGTACTTTGAGGTGACTTCGGTTTTGTATTCGGTCAGGCCGACATCAACATGTCAACGCTGCAATGACCCATTGTTATCCAACGTAGAGGGTTTTCAAAGCTGCTTAACGGAGGTTTTATTTCCATGTGTTAAAATAACACGTCTGCGGATTCAACTTCACAGTCGAATGACTACTAATCAACAGTCGGAACAGTCTGAAGACTGGACGCTAACTTGAATATAGAATGAACGTTTAAGCTCATGGGTTTCTTTCTTAACCCCGTCTAACGCATTTCTACATTGGATTATAAAAGCGTGTACGAAATCGCATCAACTAGAGTACAATGAAATTGCTTTCTTGAGAAAAATCTAGCTGTCTACTCAGTCTTGTATGTCTCATGATAATCTTGCTTCAAATTAATTTAATTAAAAGAGACTTTAATAATTTTGTTGTTCTATTAGATGTTGCTATGCAAATTGGTTTGTTGACTCATTCCCTGATTCCGCATCATCATGAGCTACAACGTTTTTCTTGGTAATCATCAGGGATCTACTGCACTGCGATTAGATCTGATACAAAAAATCGTTACTTAACTCATTTGTCAGTAATCCTTAGAGAGTGAAATTGCAGTGTATAAAAAAGGCTTTGACAATAACATAAATTACACGAAAATAGAGTTTACCGCTTGTAATGGAGTGGAGAATGTCGTATCAGAATGGTATGTTCTATTATGCAACAGAAATGTGAGCGTGAGGTCGGATGATTGATTTGGCCGTTGAGAGAGTTCTGGCTGGTTAGTACTCAATACATTATCTGATTTCCTTTAATGACCAAATTTGATTCCCGACCAAAAGAGGTGGTAGGTTTTGAAGTCATAAACGTGGTGAATATACCTCACTAAATTAAAACAACTGAAAGCATGTTCTTCCCATCATCGTCCAGTAAATCTTAGATCGTAGTAGTTTACTCATACGGTTGGTACACCAGGTCCAGCCTAATTAGCAGCAGGATTTATTCAGATGATGCATCGGAGTGTTTTAAACTTGGAAAAATTAATTTTAGAGCTTTTGGGTTATCACTACTTCATGGAACGCTTCACTTTGGGAACCAATGAAATAATTAGACCTGATTGCGTTTTGTCCGGGACCGCTCACAACTTGTTACTAGCGAATCGACTGCTTTACGCTAGTTGATTGTCTGGCAAAAACTTGTCCCGTACTAGTTTGACCGGCGCCTCCTTGGGGATTATTTGATCTCCTTTCCTGCTATCTCATTTGGGTGGGGCCAAATGCTTCATTAAGGCAGGGGCGGGGAAATAACTCGAGCAGTCCTGTGCTATCAGGACAAATTATAAGACGAATGTGAAGCTGTGAGAGGACGCCATGTTGGTTGCCCTGGTGACGCCATCGCTAAGCGACAAATGCAAGCGAGTGTCTTCATAAGTGAGCTTAGCAAATAGACATGTCCGTGGTGAAACTAGTCCTTACGTTTATTGGTGAAACTCCGTAACTTAAAGCTCGAAATTACCAGCCTGAAGCATTCTCCTTTTATCCATGCACTGAAAATAGCGACAGGGAAACACTTCACAGAAATCGCTTGGCTATTTCTTTTTAGCTAAAAAAATTCGGTTTGTGTTTGCTGGGCCCAATACTCCAGGTTGACGACGAGTTGGGTGCTTTACGTTCAGCCCTTACAAATAAAAGGCAATTTTTTTCTATCAGCTCAGATAGGACACTAACTTCAAATAAGAGATAACAGCTTTGTGCATTAATCCTAGTCAGTGAAAAAAGAAAAAAAAACAAGCAATTATTAGGGAAATTTTATTAAAATTAACGAGGCAGACGAGTTTGTTTGGTTTCGCAGCTTCTTAAATATACAAATCAGGTTTCTGCGTTTGACTAAAAAAATGAAATAGATATAAACTCATTTTACTGTGTCGGTGGACAAACATAATAAAGTAATGCATTTTTTGGATTCTACAGTTGCCGGGATAACACTGACAATGCAGGCTAATTTAGGTCTTTATGTAGTCCCTTCGTGCTATGTGTTGTTGTCTAGGAAGCAAATGACCAAACATTTTATTCTTTGGTGGGAATTTCGTGCCGAGGACGCAAGTCAGTTGTGTTAAAGATCCCCACACAAAAGGATTAAAACGTGAAGAAAATGATTCAAAGGCATAAAAAGCAGTGAATGGATTCATGATACTGAACATTTCACTAACAGCTTTGCTTTCATTCGTATTCACTTGAGATATAAGTGAATGCAGTGTTAACGACTTGGTATTGTGCGAAAAAAGCGCAGCGGTTAAGGCCAAAGCAAATTCTTCTGTGAGTGTAAAATTAGGAAGCAGTTGGTCCAAGTGTGACCAAAATGTGCCCCATTTTTGTTGGTATCACTTAAGCTAAACATTTGCACTACTTCTATGTCGATATAAGTCAATGAAGATCTCATTAATTAAGGAGAACATGGTGCCGATCTGCCTAAATGAGTTCAATAAAGTTTATGAAAGAATGCGCGATAGTCATCTCAGCATTTCACTGTTTAGTGGAGATATCCAATGTCTGATGCATGGCTTTAAGCCATAGTAACCAGCAGATTATTAAAGTTTATCAGGTTCATTGAGTTAGCCTAAATTAAAGAAATTCTATTATGTGGTTGAGAAGCTGGAAAAATCGGACAGTCATCGAGGAATTGAAGTTCGATAATTACTTCATACACTGAAATTAATTTGACGCATACTGTAGGCAAGGTCAGAACTTGTCTGATTGTCGTTTAAATCTGTGGCCAATCACTGAAGGAATTTCTGTGAAAAAATAGCCTCAAACATGGCTTCCGACATGGTTGCTATATCTTCATAACAACAGTCTCATAAAACAAGTTTATGTATTTCCGGATGCACAAATACTTCAGATAAGTTTGCTTTACTTGACAAATATCACAGTTCTGGGAAACAAGGAAGATCATTTCCAGAAAGTGTTGACTGCATCAGTTGTTTTAAAACCCATGAATATAGATTCCACGAGAGCCGTCTAGTGCAATTTGGGCCAATGGTCACTCATTTCAAAATGCACTAAGGCAAAATCAAACTGTTCATAGCATTATTAGTGAAAATGACTGCCTTGTGAAGAATACTTGCCCTTAAACCCACGTGAAGATGGCTTAGAAATTGTGATTTAAGAGTTTATTAATTGGAACAAAACCGACATCACCAGATGATTTCAAGGAATATAAAGATGGCCTGGGCTTACTTTCGTTTGTGATACTCAGCATAAGCAACTCCTTACAGGTGTTACCCCAAGACCTCAATCTTTTAGAGAAAGTTTGCGAAAAATTAGGGATCATATGCCCTTGTACTCTCCTCTTCAGAATACAGGGTTCAAGAGCATGAAGGCAAGTTCGCAATAGTTTAACGATGACGAAAACTACTTCTGTAAGCCCAGAAGTTGATTAAAATGGCAATGTCGATGTAGCTCACTTTAGATTGCTATATTGTGCATCCTTACTACTGTTATCCACTTTTCGAAATTATGACAGGAACTTTATTACGAGATCGGTCAAATTACGGTTGCTTTTGGGGGCGGGAATGCCTGATGGAAACGTGATATGGAGGGCGTATTAGGCGAATGGCCTCATTCTAGTTGCGTCTTCTTTTAAGCCTTATCTAAGTGGACCAAATTAGCATGCTGTAGTGGCAACTATGCAAATGCTTCGACGTCTCTGATGTTTTGCAGAAGGGGAGAACGAGCGGGGCGAGGGAGGGTGCGCAGTAGAATTTAGCAGAAGCATAGGCAAAATATGAGTCATCACCTGCTACAGGCCAAAGCTCGTGCGGCAGCGCATTTGCCCATACACAAGAGCGCATACACCGCAGTGACGCATTTAGCGCGTGTGTACGAGCGCAGCACATGCAGCTAGCGGGCAGGCGCACGCACGCACGCACGCACGCGAGTTATTGAACGACTGTCGGAGCGAAAATCCGACAAGCAGCTGCAGGTTATTATGGCAAGAGAGGAAGCATCTGTGACGGAGGTTGTTGGCCCACACTTGCGCCTCATCGCAATAACACTGATAATGCGATGTCGCATGCTGCTCAGAGCGTCTACTTGGGTTCTGATAAAAATTGACTTATGGAAAAGATTAGTAATTCAACTTTAGTTCGTTTTTTGCTAACCTTGGACCAAACAGGGGCTGTATAAATTTTAAGTGATGTGTTGAAACCCCACGCCAATTCTTTAGTCAGGTTCTCGAACATAGACGTCGTATATGAAGTTGATACTCCCCTGGTCACATCAAAATTAATTGCATCCTTGAAGACTCCAAATTAGGAACTGAATATGACTTAAAAACCATAGATACAGCAGTTCTGGTTTATTTTATATTAAAATAGTTCAGATAAAATGTTAGGGTCATATCGGTACAGAAGGTTACTACATTATCTTTGAGACCCGCCATCCCACGATTGACCATGTTATAGATGACAAACTGCCGCATTGGCCATCACTTGAGTTGCTAAATATAGTTCCAAGTAGCGCTCTGATTGGTTTTTTACGGCCACTACCTACACCAATAGCTAGCGCCATAATGTGACAGGGCGAAGAAGCAAATCGTCCACTTATGATATCCGACTGCCTTGTGATTGAAATTAGCACCGATTGCGATACGTGACTTGAGAATACAGTAAGGACATTACTGCGAAAATTAACTTGCCTTTTCTTATTGACAAGTTCATGGCAAGAGAAATGCCAACCACGCCACCATTTTATTTGTCATGGTGACTGGTGCTTTTTTGTTGGATTTTGAGACTAAAGACATAAGCGGTTTTTAGTGACCATTGAAGTTCACCACGCAGGCAAACTCGAACGTTTTGACAAAAGGAAAGAAGGAATTTGGGCAGGGTAATTGTCTCTGTTAACCAAATCAACTTTTCCTGGACAAGTTTAAAGAGTTTTCAGCTAGCCAAGCTTAGTTGTTGTAAAACTTGTTTAAGACTATTGATGCAATCTGACCTGGTGTACAGTGTGCTGCTGAATACCTTTTTAGGAAGAAACTCGTAGGCACAGCGTATTGTGCACGAAAGTAGTTCACGAAAAAAGGAATCCCTACAAGTCGTGCCTCGGGTGCATCAAAGATGACTTTTACACTTGATGGTTCTATCACGACAATACAGAAAGGAAGAAACTAATCTCTAGGGTGCTTGCCCATCTTATATCTAACAAATCACCTCACCCATTTATTTAAATTTTTACATTTCATTGGCATAAGCACCAAAGATAATCACATTTTAATTTAAAATAAGAACTAGGCTAATTAGTTTGGCTATTAAAGTATGTTTGAGAACTATGGGAATGCGTAGTTGACTAGCAGCATTGCTGAGCAGGTTGCACCAGGCGCTCCGCGTTGCGCAAAGTCCAGCATTCCTACCCAGTTGTTGGTTCAGATCTAATCAGAAAGAGTCTACACTTTGCGTTTTGTGTCATTCATTTAGTGATTTAGCATTTGCACACGGGTTAGATTTTACACCAGCGATGACTACCTAAGTTTTTTTCTCTGGTTTAATTTAATTTGGTTGAATTTTAATGTGTTAAATAATCAACTAGACTCACCAAACTCCGAAGACTTTATGCGCAGTCCAGAATTCAAGATTAAAGCCTGCGTTTGAAATAACATTGTAGTGTTTGCCTTTCCGGGGATCCATCAGAACATCGTAAACTCTTTTGGGGATAACTGCCACCTCCACACGTCTCCCCACGTTTCGACCCAGAGCATTTCTTATTAGTCGCACAATAAGTGAATCGACATAACTAACGACTGACTGTCCGTTTACTTCGACGATTTGATAATCTGGCTTGAACCCACATACTTGAGCGGGTGAAAATTGATCGACATGAGTTATGCAGCCCTGATGAATGGTGAAGCCAAGGTCCCGATGGCTTCTCATATTCTCAAGGGTCCTTTTTCTAATGGCGAACTCGTCTATAACCGCACAGTTGTACACTCGAAGCTCTAGTTTGCACAAATAAGGCGAAGGAAGGATTCTGAGACAAAAGTAGTCAAGGCTCTCTGCATGGCTTGTTATTTGCGGTTTTCTGTGCTCGGGAAGCCAAGTACTGGAAATTTCCAGAACTTGGTCGCTAAAGTGAATATCAGCTTGTTTGAAAAATTCGATATATTTAATAGCACAAATAAAGAATTTATGGCCAGGGAAGGCCTTCAAAGTGAGGTCTTTAATGGAACCCGGTTGTCTGTATACGTTAATGTCCCGCCACACAGGGCGACGGACGAATCCCTCGGGGTAAACATTACGAAGCTCCGCGAGAAAAATCCGTGGAACCTCATCCGGAATTCCAAGATCCCGGGAGTAATGATAGAGGTGGGAGCGGGCCACATCTCTGAATGGTGTTTTTGGGCGATCAAACTCCTCCGGTCGCTTGGCCCTCATTGTGTGCGTGTTAACTGCAACTGGACCCTTTGCACGAAAAGCCAAAGTTGAGCCCTCAAGACCCTCGATTCGTCTGGCAAACGAGTCAGCAGGTGAGCCGGGTGTGCCTTGAGGTGGCAAAGGATAGGAAATTCCATGTAATCGAATGTATTTTAAATAGTCGCTGACACTGTCTAACACAGGGGGAAGTCTACATCTAGGAAAACAGAGAGATTGGTCCAATAGGCGTGAACAACAACAGATGCAAGCACGATTGCATTTCTCTTCTTTGTCTAATTTTACGCGAGATATGACGCCATGTACCGGGCAGAGGCGCGGGAATTCATTGTAATTTTGTCTGTCAGGAAATTCAAGGTAGCATTTTTGCTCTATTTCGGTGACTGGACGAAATTTATCGCAGTAGTCTCCATAACCCACAATGCCACATGCGTCTAAGTTAATATCTTCAAGAAGTACACATGGCGTCTTTTCAGGTAAGCATTTCGGTTGATCACACATGGCTCGTTGACAAACCGTGGAGACGCCTTGGTAGGCACGTGGCTAGCATGTGACTTTTAAAAGAATGGAAATCTATACCAGTCATAATCTAAGGACAAATCCAAAATTTTCTGTACAAAGCATTTGCTTGTTTTCATATATTGGAGACCAGGATAGATCTACAACCAGAAAATGTGCATTCTGGTCGAGGGCCATTTGGAAAGTCCAATCTGTCCTTTCTAAGCAGGTAAGGTCAGCAAATATAAATTTTCCATGAAATTCCACAATTGTTATGACCGCAGCATTTTATCTTTTTTTTATTTTTTTTTTATTTTTTTATATTTGAGAGGCATCGCAACATGTAAAATGCTAGTAGTACTTATTAACCTTCTAGGGGTGAGCCAATGTTTATTGAGAATCCCGAGTTGACACGCAGCACATCACAATGGGTTCACAAGTCCATACTGGTTCGCCTTTTAAACACAAACACACATAAAATTGGAGGCCACGACATCCGAATTCAGTGTTCAAGTAGGCTTGGGATCTCTCCGGGTAGCATTTAAAAATGAGTTGGTACTAGCCTGAAGCTTGTGCTGAAATTTGTGCCAGATTCTGTTCTATTGCTCACCTTGAAGAAATAACAAAAAGGCAAAGTCTGGAATTGCAGTCTGGCGAAACCCAAAGGTAGTTATGGGTAAATTAAGTACAAACAGAATCTACCCTTTAAAGGTTGTTTTCCAATTAGCCTGCAGATTCAACCAACTAACAAACCAGCTTTCAAACAGGTGACGACGCAATTTAGTTTCAAAGTTCAGTTGTTTTAAGGCACGATTTTCTCAGGATCTAAGAGAGCAGAATTGATGTATAAAAAAAGATTGAGAGTAAACATGCAGTTCTTAAGCTGTGCCTGGTTGCAATTTACACACTGGACTAAAATCTACGAGTTGCGTAATGAGAATTTAGGCTATTTCAAAATTCCTCAGCTGGTTTTGAAGTTTTTTAGTCTTCAAATGCAAAGGCGGCAGAAACGGTCCAGAAATAATGTAGAATCTGCTGAATATTGGTTTTGAATAATTCCATTTATCAAATTGGTTTTGGGGAATTGACTGAGGGCAATAAACCATTGAGGTCGTAAAAAGTAACCCTATTCAATTTATTAAGTAGATAGTATAAAGTGTGAGAATTTAAGAAGGTTCTGTATTTTGCTTATGCTGCCAGCAGGGGTATGCAAAAGTGCACCATTAGATCTAGAATACCTATGGAAAAACGACAAGCCGTTGCATCTTTTCCTCGCTGAAATTCAGGGCTTTATTTTGCACTTTTTCACGTTTTCAAATTGTGGTGTGTGCAGACTTGACAAGATTAAATGAACGGTTTCGTGATAAAGTATCACCATCGAATATGGCAAGGTGGTCACTTGCGACTGTAGTTATTTTATGTGTAACGAGGAGGTATACCTTAGTAAGCAACAAATGCTTGTTACTTCAATTTTAATAAAATGGAAATTATTATTGAGTTTCAATCATAATTAATTGGCAAGTACCGAGGACATATACAATTATCCCTATAAAGCAGTCAACAAGTTCAAAATTTTAACATTCTAACATTAGGAAAGTTTAGGAATATCATCATCTTTAAAAGTGCCACACATCTTAATTTAAAAATATTTGACAAACAAGGAACTTGCATTGCACAGGTGAATGAAGAGTTTAGAGTACCGAAATAAACAACCTAATAATTTGGTAGGCATTCAACACTTGGTAGCTAAATACTACGATTCTTAAATGGTATTTTAGGTTCGATGTTTTAAATTCAGTTTTAATTCAAAAACGCTATTTTAATTCCAGAAATACATCGAAAATAAACAAAGACCAAATTATGCAAGAGCTCCAGATGTTAAAATAATTACTGCGGAAAAATTAAGGCACTAAATACCGGGAACAGGGATAGTGATGACCACAGTTGCGCAAATAATGAGACGTTTACATGCACCTCATTTATTCTGATCGAATAAATTTACACGGAGGAGCAAGTTTTTAATTAAAACTAAGCAACTAACACGGGTTTTTTAAAAACACACATTCATAGGTGTTAGCCTTACCAACAGTTCGTTTGTAATTTGTTACTTCTCAAGGTTATTTGCTTGTTTATTTCTGTTTGGCTTTACGCGCGCAGTCTAGAAGCATTTCCTACGTTAAGCAGTTTGTCGTATGTCAAGGTTAATCCGCCTTCCTCGTTTTATTGAAAAAAAATTTATAAGCCAGAGAAATATTTAAAGTATTGTTAAATTATTCCGATGTTGTCTTGCTCTGTTTTCTTTAGTCTATACATTTCATTAAGTTTTTTATGAAGTGAAATTTATTCATTCTAGCAATACATAAAGGCACACTTGCTTGATATCCATGTTAAATATATATTTAGTGGTTATTCAAAGTTTGGTTGTAAAATTCTGTTTTAAAGCAGTTATTTCTTTCACATAATTATCGTTATGCTTTTATTCTTCGTAAAATGCCAACATATGAGTGTAAATATTTAAGTCGAATTATAAATGGTCGTCTGTATTGTCCTCCTGGTCTTTTTATTTTAATGGACGATTTAGACAAGAAATTGCTGATAACCTTTCATTGTCTTTTATTTCATGCTGAATATTCAGTTGTTAGTATGTAAATGATCAGCGACAAAACCATTGTGCTCCCTGTCTATGTTAAATATTCTGAAAAGCTGAATACAATTTTTTTTAAAAAAGACAAATGAAATATGGTAGTTAAGGGGCAAGGGTACGTGTCTTGTTTAAACGTCGACTTCAGGTTAAGGAATGCCTATGCTTTTTTTGGTTTGCGTTTGTAGAGCCACATAAATAGTAAAAGTTCTATTAGAAGAACCTTTCAAATTCAAGCGGAAATTCACCTCGATTTCGCATTCCATTAAGAGTCTACTTTGAACCATTCCATTCTGCCTGACGATTATATGCCCCTTCTTATGTCGTTCAATGGTTTGAACATACTTTTTTCTTGTATTCGTTACGACGAAATTTGCTGTTATGGCAACAAAAATGGACTGACCGATAATTGATTAGACTTATTTTTGCTGGTGGAGTTGGTGAATCTGAGCAGTTGCTAGCACCGCCACTTTAAACGTAAAATTACTTACAAGCCAAACCCAAAACACTTGTATTGGTCATTGTATTTTGTTTAATGTTATGATTTTCAGAAAAACTAGGGTAAGGCTGCAAAAGTCGCGTTGAACTCCCAGAAGTCATGCTTCAGATAAATGATCAGACACAATTTAAATCTCTGACAGTAAACCAGGAGTAATTTTTGATTGACTCTACGCTTTGCATCCAGTTGAAAATCTCATACATGTCATCCTGACCCATTTCTCTAGAAAGAAATTGGCCTTAGTATTACCTTTATGAACTCCTTTTTCTAAATGTAGAATATCGAAAAATTTGTCTTCACATAAGTCCCTGTTTTGGCGGAGGAATGGGTTGGTAAAATTTTGCGTACTCTACGTGGTTAATGGACTGATGTTACGTTATCTAGGACTTTTATTAGAAAAAATAGTTTTCACGCAGACTGCTAGAAATCCGATGTCAACGACCTTCATCGATTCCGTTATTTTTTAGACCTAACCGATGTCGATAGAAATCAGTAAACATTCACCGCCAGATGAAAAGCAAGTACATTTTGCTGTCGACGAAAATTCGCCTCAGAAGGAAGATAATGCCAGCCAATCGGACGAAGTCCTGCGGACCGATGAGCCTGCTATTGCTGAGACTCAACCACCAAAGGTGGCAGTTGAAGTGGAAAATAAGGAATCATCTCCGTCCTCCTCAAAAGTAGTGGATGCTGTAGCCGTCAATGGGGAATCTGATGCAATCAGTGAAGCGATCGAGAAGCGGAAGCAGCCTCTTATGGAACTTGCTTACTCCGAAGAGAGCTATGTAAAAAGATTACGCGTTGCTTTTGAACTCTACATGCCGGCACCTTATAGGACTTCTCAAAATATTGATCCCAATAGCACCGCCTCGGTGTCGCCCACAAGTCCCGGAACCGCGGTCGGTTTTGAGGAACTCGCAAGTAAACTACCTCCAGGAGGTCCCAGTGTGCCTGAGGACTTGGTGGCGCGTTGGCGCATTCTTTGGGGAAATTGGATGCAGCTCTTCGAATGGCACACGGGGTTCTACGAGAAGTTGAAGACTCTTTTAGAAGAGGATCCTGATCGGATCCCAAAATTATTCATTGATTCTCGTGCAAGATTACGGTCCATCTACTCAAAGTACTGTGAAAACCAGATTAAAGCTGCTCATATTGCCGAACAGCACAAAGACTTCTTTGACGAGTGGCGAGTTCATGTGGGCGACAAAGAAGACGTATTGTCTTTGCTGATGCAACCAGTCCAACGAATAATGCGTTATCAATTGCCAATTTCCGAAATTGTCAAATGGACGGAGCGGGCTAAGCTGCCTTCATTACCTCAATGGCAGAAAGCCTTGGATATTATGAAGGAAATCCCAAAGGACACGCAGCTTATTTTGGAGGTACGGCTTAATTTTATTTTTAAAAGAACCAGTCCCGCGTAATCATGATCTTGTGATACATGCCACTCTTATTTGTTACTCTGCCATTCTTAGAATTTCACACTGGAATGAACTTCAAACCCAGTAACTCCGTTAAGGCATTTTTAACCAGAGGCTATTTTTTAGTAACTTTGAACCTGCCAAATGCAAGTAGTTGTGGGCGTGAATGTATTGGAGGTATTGTGATTACGGACACGGCATAAATGTGATTGAATACATCTTCTGTTAGTCATTATGCTTTTCTACAATGCAAAGTATGTACTTTTGAAAAAAACGTGATGGGAGTGTGCATTATAACGGCAGGGTGATTATGTCACTGCCAGTTTGTTTCCTTTGGGAACCAGAGTTGCTCTTACCTTTTTGCGAGGAGTTAACAGAACACAAAACACATGTAGAAATAAGGTTGGAGGAAATCATTAAGCAATAAAGCACTGAAGAACTACGTGGTAAATTTGTTAGGATCATAGCATGGAGTCAGTAAGCAACCATAAATTGATGCCCATGATTTGTACAAACATTTTGAGGCCTTCAAGGTTGTCTCAACTGACTTGCTAGTTTAACGTGAACGAACTTGCAATTAAGATGTAAAATATCCTGTGTTCTTGTACTCATTCATTGCAAAATTCAGCAGCCAAAAAACCAAATTTGCCTAATTCACGAACGTTCGTTCAGAAAATGCTAACTAAGGGCTTATTGGTAATGCGTCATTGAGTTTGCACATTAATATGGTCTTCACTTATTTCTAAAGTTAGTCAGTTATGCAAACGATTCCATCGCCTGACTTCTAAGTACGAATTTAGAAACTGCATCAAAGCGGTGACCAAATTTGTGGAGTCTCCATGAGTTTATGTTGAACACTTCGCCGTTTATTCTCAAATACAGTGCTTGGGTGGAGCACTCTAACAATATGACTGCGAGCTTTTTTAACACGGAGCCGTGCCTGTTCGCGTGGAGATTGTGGTGTAATCAAGTCGACTGCTTTTTGTGTAATCCGGCTTCAGTCATTGTGGATGGCCTTTGGATTTCAACGTTGATCATTTTCAACTCCTTTTTCCTGACATTTACCTCGCGCCGTGAAGGTAATATCAAAATACAAACGGAAGTGTTAAAAGTACCTCAAGCCAACTTGCTTCTCTGTTCACCAAGCAAACACCAAGTCGCTTAGCCCATCATCGTAACCATAATTGCTACCTTTCCTTCGGCAGCCTATAAATCGCTATTGTGGCATTTTAAAGTTTGATTAACCTGCATTTACTTCTTGATGTTGTAAAAAACGTTCAACCACTTAATATTCGCATTATATACCGGTTGCAATGCTGGCGGTGACATCTGTTGGTTTGGAAGAACGAGAATAACATCTAAAAATAGACAACTGTACAATGAACATTTCTCAAATGTACAATAGCATCTTACTATCTACGTCTTTTGAGTGAGTTTGGAGACACGATTAACCAAAATCGATATGGCGAGTTGCATGCTCAACTTCACCCATAATTTTCTTTTTCCTTATCTAGTTTTGGATTGGCTGCCATGTATTTTATTATCATGACGCCAACCAATTGGCATTGACAGGAGCACATGTATTTGAGAGGAAGCGTAGAGTGGTTTTACTGTGGCGCCACAAGCTCTACCCTGGGACAGTTGCCTCGCCATAAATAGTCAATCCCCTTTACACAAATCTATGTCGTCATCGTATGTATCCGTAGGGAAAACAGATTTCGTTTCGTCTTGCGCCAGTTAATGTTTCCGTTAATTGCTACCTGTTTATTTCTAAAATTCGTTACCCTTAGGACTTTTACCTACCAAGTCTGTTGTGAGAGCTACCATAAAATGGAAGGAGTAGCCTGTGTGCCTTATTGAAAAAGTTTGCAATCCGTCGTGAACGGGAGCGCCATGGAAGCAGCCTTCCGAAGTGTCAAAATTTCTTGACTGCAGCTTCCAAACTTCAACAAAGGAAGGTATCGGTTTGTGGTCTTGACCATAAGAAAACACCCAATGATTCTTTCGATATTCTAGACCCGCTGTGGAGACTCACGTGCGCTTGATCTGACTGGAACGAATTGTGTGCCCAAAGTGGCACGAGCATACACAGCACTTCTTGGGGTTGAATCAGTGCCTTAGGAAATGAGCTACTGCTCCTCTTAATGAATGGTGGTGTCTTAGTTTTTTTTAGCACCATTTCGCTTCATCCATAATAAACTAATTTTCGCGTATCAATGAATTTTAAAATAAACGTTTTGCAAGGATAATATCTCCAGATAAGTGCATCAGTTCTGAATCCTCATTCTGTTCACTAAATTCAGCAACCTTCAAATATAGATTTTATGCCACTTGCTGTCTCACAAGGCAATGCGGGCATATGACAAATCCGGTTCTTTTGGTACAGCATCAAGCGCTTTTCAAGGTTTTGATTTTCTTGATTAATAAAGTAAATCTGCTCATAATAAACACAAATAACCATTTATGCGTCACGTTAAGAAATGATTACAAAATTATCGGGCTATCAAGAAAATGGTTTCGTGGAACAGGTTCACGCAGAAAGAAGCCTTACCATTGAAACAGCATAAATCTCAGCAGTGTGTTAATGATAAATTTTGAAAAAAAGATATAGTTTTGACTTCTGGCACAACTGCACCAGATGAGTGTGTTTCGTCGCTGCTTGCGTATAAATTGGACTGTTAACTGTACCCATTTGGAAAAGTTAAATGCCCAAGATCCTCTGCACGTTGATGCTTGTGCACTTTAACAGTTGGCTTCCTCGTGGACGCGTTCGATGACCCTAAGCTGATGCCGTTCACTTTATTGCCTTTTGCGAGCGTCTGACCACATCGCCGATGTTGTATCATTTGTTGCGTACCGAATATCACCGTTGTATCAATTTCGGATGACATAAATTTCCTCGCAAACTCGCCATTTGATGGACTTAAATCAAGTGAACTTTGCGTCTTACTTAAAATCACCTCAAGTGTTTTTTTGCTCCGTGTCATTTGGAACGTATCCTCTAAGTAGATTAAAAAAAAGCACCTATACATATACACCGCGGGAAACATCCCTATAATGTCCATTATAGTGCGTTAAATCAAACACTGACTTAATGTAGTATTTAAAGCAGCATATTTATTTGTATTAAAAAACGCGCAAACACATTAGCTGTTTTACACTACCACTACTCTGTTCTACCACTTATAAATGAGCCATAGATCTAAGCCATTAAAGTGCACATTTGGTTGCTATTTTTGTAGACCCCGTAAGTTTTTGCCATCTAGTAGCTTTTTTCATCTATTTCGAGGAAAGATGTCTGTTCGTGTGGTAACAACAATAACAATTGTGGAAATGGAATGTAATGGAAAATTTGCTGGGCTAAAGCCTTGAATAATTGCTTGTCTCTCGAGTTTCTACCGTCAGCCTACTTGGCATTGCTTTGGTAAATCGAAATAGCAACCACCGCAGCCATTGGCCGCGCGCCCTCGCCCTCGCCGCTTGGCCAGCGCGGCTGCCGTCGTGCGCTGCGGAGCTCCCTCCTTACCTCATCCATTAAACGCGATGAAAAGGCCCTAGTGATTGCACTTTTTTTCAAAAATTTACTCATTAAAAAAAAGCAAAAAAGACTTATTTGGCTAGTGGACACGAGGCGAGGGCAAACCAGTTAATGCATTTTAACCAAATGTGAAAATACATTGTCTTTGCTATTGGTATCAGAAGTGAATCACCATTTGTGGTTAGCGATGTCCATTTGGTGTCATTCTTTGACAGCAGAGTTTCGTTTAAGCATTGCTGTTGTTAATCTAACAGCAATGTTTATGCTTTTTCATTAAAAAAAATCATGGTGTTTTATACCTAAAGGTAGTTTGTGTTCGAAAGTAACGTCGTGTGTGGTGGAGCCAAAGGAACTTCCGTTACAGCTCGTGTAGGAAGAAGTGTCTTCCGGGAAAGTTGCCTAAACTTCATTCTCCCTGCCTCGTGGAATAACTGTCTTGGGGTCATTGAAAACTCTACTTAGTCAACGCAGTTCAGCTCTTTATCCCCAAATTCAAGAGGAGGCGGTATTGGCCTATTTCGCAAATTTTATTACTTGTAAAAGTACACTTTTGTTCAGCAACGATTCGTTGCTACTTGTAGCATAAAATATGCGCACTTTTCCTGTTTTTTTTTACAAATTGGTGTGTGCATAATCAGACTGGCCGAAAATTCATTCATCTTATTTTTTTGTTTGCTGATTGGCAAGTCTTCTGCATTAGCTGTATACAAAGATCAACCTTAGGCTTGAAAATGGCGAATCGCGGCTACTCTTGGTGATGGGTGATGATTTCTGCCCTTCACTCCGAGTAATTATGCTAACGGCAATGAGTTTATCTGTGGCGATTTTCGGGGATATTGAGATCCAACAGCTGATGTGACCCGGGTATATTTTTGACATTTACTCTTGCTTACACCCCTAATCATTGCGATATGTCACGACTTCACAATATGGCACTTCATCTGTCAGAGCCTAATGCGTTATCTTAAGTGCTTCTTTAGTGCTGACTTAATCGATCCACTAAAACAAAAGAAACGAGCCACAGTTTTTTTCGTGCCGAGTCACCTGTTAAACTCCAGAACAGTGTGAAGTTCGCATTTTCATTAAAAAGGAAAGTTGTTCTTTTGCATGACAAGCTGTGCGCGGATTGGTTTGAGTGAGATCGTCTCTCACAATCGTCGTTCCACTTCCACTTACGCCTCACTTCACCTCCTTCTTTCCACCGGGTTTTGCCACATGTCACATCTCTGTTCTTTGTTTTGAGTGAACAGAACTTTCCTCATAGTTATTTTATCCATTTCAGCTGTTTTTATTCAGGGATTTCTGGTGGTCAGTAAGGGTTAGTCATCTCGTACTTGCTAGTGCTTCGCAATAGCATTAGTAGATGTTTCCCATTTGTTGTGATCCCCTTTTGCATTCCTTGTTTGCTCCATTAACCTTCTTAAAGTAAACCCTAGTGGTTTTTTACGTGCACCAACTAAGTTAGTTGTAGTTGCACGGAATATTGGCAGGTCGCTCTGTTTTGTTTAACTCAAAATCCATTCAGCGTCTCTGAATATACCACACACACATAATTTGCAAAACCTCTCACATTCTTCTGTATGGAGAGCGAGTTTTACCACTCTCTTAAGGCGTTGAAGTACTAGACCTCCTACTCCTAATTTATCACAATTCAATAGCGCCTGCTGTTCACTTTAGTAGGCAAATCTTATTTGATTAGGACGATGTGTCAATGTTTTCGTTCCCAGGAGAATCAATTTATTCTTAAGCAAGTTCTGACTGAACAAAGCACGAATTCAAATATGTAGTCATTTTGTACCCTTGCATTTCAACTAATCGTGAGAATGGATTCAAATTTGTAAACCAGATGTGTTAATTTGTTTTTGCTCTAATTTGATGTGAAAATACTTTCTACATGTTACAATTTTTCCACTCACAAAAACTGAGGTTTTGGCCGAGTTATGGAGTTTGCAGTGTGCGGTTCATTCAAAAAATTTGAAAGCATGTCCCTGAACGAATGCACTACTTGTCTTCACCTTGAACACGCGTACAATCAGTCCAGATATTGCCGTCGATTGATACCGTCCTCTTGTGGCATTCATATCCACAAAAGAGCATCTGAGAAAAATTAAAATCACACATTTCTATTGAGACTTTCACTTATTAGCATACCATAAATTAGTGGTTTCCGAACTAGTGATGTGCCAGCATGCTCCGTGTGTCTTATTCTGGGGAGACTTGTCAAATATGTAGTTGATAATATCGGAAAAAGCCGTCGCACTGACGAAATCATTAAAGTACTCCATTACGCTTATTGATGGTAATTATTATTATCCGTAAAAACGTGATTGCGCTAAAATAAGGCATAGTTTTGAAAAAAAAAATGCAATGAATCTCGTAGTCCGCCCACGCAAAGATGGTAGTAAAACTTGTTAGCTGCACCCTATTTATGTTCGCAGGAAATGAGTGCATATGAAATCATCGCGCTGTCATCGCCGGTTCTTGTACGTAATAACATTAAACAGATATTACTACTCTCCTTATATTTACGGATTTCGGTTTTGGTCGTATCCTTTAACTGCGCTGGCAATTCTTTCCACACGAAGACTGGTGAAAAACGTCGGAATATCTTGCTTCTTGAAGAGGCTCTTTGTTTGCCTAATTTTGATGCACCTCGAGGTATTTTTCAGATCATTATTACACGTTTGGCCAACGTGTAGGCATTGCGTTATGCAACGTAAGTCTGTCATCAGCATGGGCGCACCTAACTGTAAGCCACTTCATCTAAAATGCAATCCATTTCCTAACAAGGCTCTCCTTCATAGATTTTTACAATAGATCTAATTTATTATAATTTGGTTTGTGCGTCGGAACATTTGCACTGACAAATTGTGCATTAATTATTCCTGACAAGTCTCTTTAAAATCGTGTATGTCATGCCCTGAACGTATCAATTCAGGTCATAGCATTTGACTCAGAAGAACTCTAACCTACAAGGCGAGTCGGGAGGCCCACGTTGACTCAGAGATCTCCAAGTAATTTCTGCATTAATGAACAAAAAATGTCATTTGCTTGTACAGCTTGGCCTGAATGAAGATTCGGTAGCCGCAATGGTCAAGTCGAAATACCGTTCGCTGAACTCTCCTGTGCGTGCTACCTCCACATTGCAACTTCGGTTTGCTTATGCACACGGAGGAAATCATTGAGCCTCTCGGCTAAAAACAAAACTCTCCAGCCCTTCAGATCAAGTGGACACAAATCTGGCCGGGATTTCCTTCACATAGTAACTCGTTGCTCCAATTTCTGGGAACACGTGAGCGTGGGTGCCTTGGGAGCGAATGCTTAAATTGGCTCCCCCTCATCATCAACAATAACACATTTTTGCGGATAGATCTTCCATATTCTCTCAGGCATGCTTACAGCTTAAGACCGACTTCATTTTCAGACCACTTTTGCAATGGCAGGAACGCTGTAGGGAGAGCTCTTACGACAGGATTTATGCATCAAAGTGGACATTAGGTAGAATGTTTATCAGGGTAGGGTTTATTGCCCAAAGCACGCGAAATCTAGCACCTCGTAATCAAGCAATATTGGCCTCTCTGCTTGTGATTGGAAGCTACGGTTTCAGCTATGTTCTGCCCCTTGATCAGTAGCATTGCACATTTGATGCAACCTTGACCGTTTGCAATGTACAAGCAGTTAGTACGACATACTTTACTCTTCCTTCACATCACACATTCTTTTGACCCGCGTTCTGTGTTTGTGTATCTGAAGCTCCTTGGTTTTTCTTAAAAGTGTACCTTTGCTTATCAGTGTTTTCCTATTGTTGCATATTTAATTACATACCTTTGATTCAAAAACTCTTATTTCTAGATTAAGTAAATGTATTGGCTATTCCTAATTTTTTTAAACGGGTATCACACTCAAGGTTGTGTTTAATTGATCACTTCTGTTAATCGCACTTGATTATGTGCGCGTGTGTGTGAAAACGTATTGAACTTCCCTACAGGCTGCCCGAATCGACGGTTTTCCAGGCGTCATTACAGCCCTCGGCACCCTCCGCATTCGTGGCGATCTCCTCGTCGCCAGTCTCTCCTGCTGTGAACTAGCCGACGCGCTGCGATCTTACGCAAAGGCACTTAACATCATCCCATCGAACCCCGCTAACCGCAACTCCTCGGCTATTTCACTGCTCACCAAACTTCACCTCCAGTCCTCGTCCACGCCCGATGACGAGGAGACGATCGTTGAGGGTGGTTCTGTTGGCATTTCAACCAACGAGCCTGCTTTACCGTCTCCGTCGGTCCCTCGTCCGCATCTCAACAGGAACCCCACGAACACGAGTGTAACCGCAGTGGAAGGATGCGAGGCGCCGACGGATTTACCGCCACCGCTTCCTGGTGGGCAGAAATTTGTCGTCTCTCGCCTGTTTCTGTTCGATCGGATGCTCCTAGTCACAGAGGAGGTGAAAGCCAAACGAAAAGGCACAAGCGCCGACGCCTTCGCTCAGTCGACTTACCAGTTCAGGGCGGCGGTCAATGTCAATAAAATGAAATTCGAGGTGGGGTTTTGTTTGATTGCAAAGTGTTTTCGAGTGCTTTATTCACCCAATTCATGGCACGTCAGCTGTTTTACTCTAATTTTGATGGGAGTCAATTTCGCCCATTAAGCTGGGTCGAAAGGTCTTTAGTTGACCATGGTTTTCAAAGGCCTAACAGTCGACAATTTTTTACCCACTTCACAGTTTCGTAGTCAGCGCATTTTCTAGTTTTGTAATTTTCACTGACGCAAGTAGCTAATTTGCACGCTCTTAAAGTCCTTCTCTAGACTGTCTGAACAACAAGGTAAGCGAAACGAAGTCGGGCATCCATGAAGGCTGCTGTAGTGCTATTCGGCAATAGGGGCTTTCTCTTCAACCCGCCGGATCTGTAGAGTGCTGGCACTAAATTTTGTCTCCAAATTGAGCGAACGTACCTTAAATGATTTTGAAATCGAATAATAATATTTGGGCTACAAGTGGTTCATGATGCATTTTTTAAAAATTACCCTAGGACTGGAGCAAAATGTACTCGAAACCAGTGAGAAATTTTTAATACACAACCCTCTCATTACTGAGACAGGGAAAAATTTGATCGGGTACCCCTATATGGCGATATTTTGTTGCAAATATTTTATCTTCATGCTTTCCTTCCTAAACGTCCCCATCGTCGTTCACTAAAACTCCGAATTTTTCTCTGTAAAAACGAGACTTATTGTCAAATTTCCGAGAGCCACATAGTCCCTACAGATGCGCAAATTCTTCGCATTAGTCACCCCTTTTCCATTTAAATACATTGAGCATTTCTAAGCACCCGTCAAGATGACGGTAGTAAAATCAATGATTCTAAGGAACGTTTTCTTCAAAGTTGTTGTTGTACTCTTCCGTCTTTCGCCAAACTGGAAATCTCTGAGCCTGTTCAAAAGCTCATGGCTGCAGGGAATCCACAAGAAAATCTACTAGTTGTAAGGCAAATTTAATGACAATAAAATAAATAAAGACGCTCATTTTTTGCCACCAAGTGTCTCAAATCATCACGACACCAAATTCTGTAAAAAGAAGGGCGCGATTCGGATTAGGAGCCCATCAGCCTGACATTTTAAACAGTAATTCATCCACGGTGTGCACAGGAGTCGCGTAAACTTCCTTCCCAAGCTTTGCAACAATTTCCAGGTACACAAATTCAAGTCCTGCAAAAAAGGAAATATTTTTGGATCAGCCACTCCACCCTCGCCTCCCATCAGGAGAAGATTCGACTGACTGAAATACCATTCATTTAATCAACTGGCAAGCATTCAATCCGAGGTGATTGTGCAAGGTGTTTTCCTTCTCAGAATTCATGACTTGCAAAACGTATGCGGTTTTGGGTGACAGTCAACGCAATCGACTGATGCGAATGCTATTAATAAACGAAGTTCTACTCAATCAAACCCTCGTTTTCATGTTATGTGTAAAACAATTTTTTAGAGAATAAGCATATTGTATGCAACAAATTAGAAAAAAATCGGGATGGTCGTTCTCTTTCCACTGCAATATGTCGCGGCATTCTGAAAAAGAAACTGAATTAAATGAAAAGGAATCTTTGTTGCTAGAATTTCTGTTTCATGTAGCAGCCTGTTCCGCCGTGTTCGGAAACAAATTTCATACTTTTTACAATTGACGATCCCTCAATCAGGTCACTGTTAAACTAGTGATTCTGTCCATCCTATTGATTTGGTGATGTTCATGGGTATTGTCGGCAGTATAAGACTAATGGTTGGATGCAATAGTTTAATACTTTCGTCATTTCGGTAAAACTGCAATTTGCGTTTGTTTTGAACTTCTACAGACCATCTCAAATCTGTCGGTAGGGAATACTTAACATGGGTAAAGGTGCTGCCTTCGCAAAGGTGTTAAAGAGGACACGACGAAACCTCACTTGATCATGTGTAGTGGCCCTCCCGACTGTCAGACTCCCAGTATTTCCAAGTAAATCCTTGGTCCCAAATTCGGACCATTCTCTAATATCAAGGCGGCCGATGACTTTCTGGTAAATTCAAACCCACCCAAATTCCATCCCCTTGGTAAGCCTGCCACAATAGCGGACGAGTGTCGTTTAAATCTTCCTATCTCGGACACGATATTCTTGTAAACCAAAGTAACGCATTCTCCTGCACGGTATGAAGAAATTTGTGGCATAAATCGAAATGTCTAATCCTAAACACAATGGCCTCTAAAACGCCCAATGGCAACGCAACTATCACTCTTTAGTGATGCTGGATTAAGGCTTTTTTAGGTAAATGTGCTCTTGAGTAGAAAGTTGTCGTTATGGCAACTTCAAAAGGTAGCAACCAGGAACCAAAAAGGCCTAAAGCGAGTCAATTACCTGTGTGAGCGACAAGGCAGAAACCATCTGCTATAATCTTTCCAATTTCAGCTTGCATTTTTCTGATTTCTGACTTTTAAGTTATGAGTTTTTACTCATGTATTTTTATTACGGTCGGAATGAAAACTCACCTGCTAATTATTTGAAGGCTTAACATCTTGTTTATCACTCATTGTTACCATGACTATGGCCGGACCAATTGGATATTGCTACCTACATCCTAGGATGGTAATAAACAAAAGTGCTGAGAACGATTACGGGCACCGAGTCGTCGTAGCCGATTAAAACTGCGTGAAATTGGTAGAATGGAAAAACTTCAAAAGGTGAATGGGTTGCCGCGGTACCAGTTAGGACACCCGTGTGGGTTTTGTTGGGTTTCTTTCACGTGACGCAGTCAAGATTCCCAGGCGATTAGATCGCTTAGGTTATTTATAACGCACTTATATACCCGTCGTAGCAACGTAGGGCCTTCACCACAATGTGCTTTCTGAAATGGTTGAAGCAAAGATTCCATTAAAATGAAGCCTGTCTGAGGTGAAATTATCCACATCCATTTTCGGGAAATTGCATTGATTTGAGATTGAAACGACTGTGCATTCTTTTCCGTCGCTTGTACAGACTCAAGAAAGGCAAGTAAGTATTCATTAGTGCTGCTCCAAAAGTGGAAATCTACGTTTAAATAAATTAATCAGTCGTATTTTGTGGTGTTAAGCTTGACTACTTGCGCGATGTCCCGAGTTGGCTATTGTGGCGGGACTGGAGCAGCAACCCCTGTGTCGCCCTGCTAGTCGACAAAAGTGATTGTCTCTCGCACCACCATCACTACCACTTGATTTTAGACACAAAGCAATATCCATTTAGTTCTAGCCAGGTCCCAAAATTAGTGGAAGACACACTAATTTACATGAATTTCATTTGTTAACAGCTCAAAGGGAGAGAGTCTCCCCTTAATTTTCTTTTTTCCCGAAATCGCAAGTTTATAAAATGATTGGATGCTTTTAATGTGTTTAGTATGCATTGTTTACGGGTACACCGTGTCCTCGTTTGGAGGTCCGCTTTCCTGGGTTATCACAAGGTCACGTGGTTCGGTGCACTAGTGTGCGAATAATTTGACCGCCGCCCTCTCATGACGTTTCAACAAGTAGCCGAGCGAAAAAATAAATTTTGCACATTTGGAAGCAGAACACCAAGCCTCTTGCAATTTCGGAACTTTAATTATTTCTTCCTTCATACTAACATGGAAAATTTCTTAGTTTTATATGTCGTAAATAAAATCCACTTATAAACTTAACAAATAGGAGAGGATTGACTGTTCTATGCCATCAACTGGATCGTTCATAGTCTCTTGCGCCAGAAACCCACGCTTTGCTTCCTGTTCGCCCACCTGCCCTTCATTTTCCGCGTGATTTGGCTACTCGGACAAACGAACCCCCAGCATACCGCACTGTGATAGCATCTACCACCCATTTTGATCTCACTTTCATAGAATACAAGGCTAATGGACAATTTTGTGCTTGACCAAAAAACCATGTCACTATCTAGTTCGTAGAGGTTATGTAAATTTTGATGTGTCCGGTATATTTTGGAAGACTTTGGATCAATGCATAGCCACAAAGCAAAGTATGTTCTATTAAATGTAATGTTCCTGGGTATCCAAACAAGTTCAAGGCGTGGAGTAGGCCTTGAAATGTGAGGTAAGGGAGAGGGTGTCAACTTTTCCCCAGCTGTGTCTACTGGTTCATGAGCAAGGCGGGCATCATGAAGTGCTTCTATCGTTTTCTGTCGTCCACAGATGTCTCTTCCGTGATTGGTTTGGTATTTTTAATTGACCCCTCTACTTATATAACAAGAAAGAACTTGAGTGATCTTGTCTGCCAACTCGATGAGGTTCTAGTGCTAACACTCTCGATACCTCTGGTTTAAGGTGTGTTTTTAAACCAAATCGATTTGCACATCGTTTCTGCATTAAAAAATCTCTTCTGAACACCGAATTCCCCTTAATTACACGGGAATTGTTATCTTTTCAGCCTCACTGGTTTATGTGTAACGTGATGTCGGAGTCGGATGCTGGCGAAAAGGGGGACCTTTATACTAATGACTGGATCGCAGTTCGTTCAGCCCTCGAGTTAGCGGCAGCCGATGATCTGCGTTTCGCACTTTGGGATCAGACACCCGGCCGCGACGTCGTCTACATCATCGACCCGCAGACAGTCGCCACACGCTCTGCTTGGGTCGTCCATCTCCGGGACATTCAGCGCATGCAGCAGCAACTCCTTATGGCGCTCGAGGAACCCACGCGATTTGCTGGAGGCGATAAGGACTGGGGTGAGCCGCGCTTATGCTCTCTTGTCCTCACCTTTGTCTTCGGGGTCTTGTCAAAACACTTTGGCGTGTTTTAACATAATTGGCGAACGAAATCTGATCAACATATTCTAAATGCTTCGTATACAGTATAGGCAGCGCACATAATAATTGCTCCATACCTTACTGTAGTGTCTATTTAATGGCTGTTTTGTCCTCATGAGTGTTGTGGGGTCATATTGCAAAAAAAATCGTTGGGCAGAGATGACAGCGCAAGGGATGTAAGTGGTCGTTGCAGTATTTTATTTTAGTAGCTTGAACAGTGCTTGAGTTAAGTGTAAAACATCGACTACAGATGGCAAAACACAAATGTTTCTTACAAGAACCCAAATTCGTAAAAATGATATCGGAATTAGACTCATGGCTCATTTTTAAGTCACTAAGTGTTATTAATTTCCTTACCTCTAGAGGCTCTTATATCGTGCCTGAGTCATAAGTACTAAACCTTTACCGCGGGTTAATGAATCGCCAAGGCGAAATTCCTTCATCTCCCGAAGATTCATAACAGGGAAACAGACTTAAAATGCGATTTCAATAAACCTGTTCATACACATGACCCTTTCGAATAAGTCACAACATTAATCCATAGAGGTGACAAATAACATGAAGAACAATTCATCAGATCTGTTTATCTCCCCAATGCTATCAAAACGTTGGATGTCGCTGGACATTTTACTGGTGTGCAAATGCTTCGGTAGGTTAGACAAAATGTGTGAACTAGTTTAAGTAGCTCAGATTTGTAGCAGTTTCTATAAACGCTAAAAAACAAAACGCCTGAGTTTCCTAAGGTTCTATTAGCTATGGTAACAGGTGGTTTGAACTAGACAGGCCTAAGTAGATGTTTTTTTGCGATGTTCATTTTCTACTATATTAGACCTAGTAAGTTGAAGTTGTATTCAAGCATTTTAAACCCACTTCGCATTACATCATTTTCTTAAATTGACCGACCATTCTTGAAGTTGTCCTGTCATCGGAACTCACAAAGGTCATTTTCATTGCCTCGCAAACGGTCATTTCGGTGATGCACTGAGAGTGAATGGCTGCTGCAAATCTTCTAGCTCTTTTTATCAGAAGGAATTCAGCGGGCCTATTGACTAATGGATTAATTAACGTGCCTTGCTAATAATTAACGCCCTTCGTAGGCGAACCCTGCATTTTGGGTTTCGTACTGCATTGTGGTTGGATCCGAATTTTTCTTTGTCCCGTTTGGTATTGCTGTCATTTGTCAAGGTAAATGCATGGGTAAGTATAATGTTGTGACGCGTTACTAGTGGTAGGCACCTAGGACAGTGGTGATTGGTCAAATTCCAGTCTAAAATCACTTCTCCAGCACAACATAGTGGAAATTTCGCTAGATATTCATTTCACCACATTAATGTGCACGAGCGTTGGTAGGGTCTGCCAGCCAATGGCCCGGTGTGCTTTGGTTTGCGCCGCTGCATTAAAAGCGCTCTGGCGGAAGTGCACGAGGCGGTTTACCTCAAGCGTCGTCTTAAGTGGCTCCTTTGTCGGAAACGTTTTCTGCGTGATCCTGCCACCTAAACTACACACTAAGACATCTAGAAGGTTTTGCCTAACATTTGACAGCATTATTTAACGTAGTCTTCACTTAAATGCTTAAGCTTATAAAATTATTTGCAACCTTTAACAAAAGCTACAATCTTTTGTGGTTTGCTCTCTTTTGTTCGGGTGTGCGTTTTATTATCTTATACTTTCGACTAAGCTGCGAGTCCGAAGTCTATTTTAGGAAACCTTTTAATCTCCGTCATTGATTCAGTATTCGCCAAGCGTGTTTTACTACCTTATCCGTGAGCAAAGACGTTAAACTCCCAAATTGAGGGCTAATTTTCAGAGTCGCCTTGGAAAAGTCTGCGATTTTTCGGTGATGGATCACCTCTTTTTGAAGCAATGGCTTCAATGTAATCTTCAATCGGTCTTGCTAATCTCGTAGGAATTCAAGTGTCAAACTCTCCGGATTACTTTCGCGGTCACGAACACTGAAAGCTATTGGTTTTCGTCAAGTTAAAGAAATCCCATGCATCCTAGGCTTCTGCGTAAAGAGGCCAGATTGAAAAAAGTGCCAAATTTTTAATTGCTCATTTTCGAGGCTTCTTTTTGACTTACTTACCGGTATTCAGGCTCTACTACTATAACGCGTTCTCAGCGAAGATAAGTTCACGCGATTTGGATAAATGCATGTCCGACATAATTGCCTTATCGCCAACTTGTCGCTATCACATTTGCTGCTTTCCAACCTATTTCGTCTCATACAGATGTATTTTTTTAGAGCGTCGAAATCCTGTATCAAAACTCGTCGAACAATAGGCCTCTGAGACCAACTCCTGGGCATTATTATCAAATGCAATCGCGCGGATGTCGGCATCTGTTTTGTCGGAACAGAATGTGTAACAAAACAAATGCAATGAGGGCAATTTTTGTGTTACTATTTTGGAACAACCATTGTAAAGGGATCCTCCCAACTCATGATCGTAGAACACGCGTGAAAATAAAATCTGCTTTAACAGTTTAAATCCCTCGTCTAAAAAAGTACAATGAAGTGGGAATTCTTTGTCAAAATTAATAAAAAAAATGGCCATGGTAAGTTTCCACTGGGTTGCAAACATTTTTTTGGCTCCTTTCACATACATATTTTACAAGTCCCGAACGCTGTGGTGCATTAGTTGCAAAACATCAAATGCAAACCTTGTGCATGCGTGTATGTTCACATGTGCCTTGGTGGTGAGCATCCTGGGAGAATGGAGAATTCAAGGTGCCAACCTCTGCCACCGATCCAAGTGCCTTTGCCGAATGTCGGCCTTTTCTACAGAAACCCTCCCCTGTGCATTTAATCCATTTTGGCCGTCACTTTTACTAGGTTGGTTGGAATATTGTGCTTACTAACGCGAAATAACACGAGGAAACTGATACTTTTCTGCAAAAGTATCTATCAAAGGGTAGTTTATGTTCGAATTTGATGCTTTTGGCACCTTTCTTGATTAACTAATGTCTAAGTGAGCCATGTGTTACTCATTAACCTATAAATTACTGACTGCTCTCTCAATGACTAATTAAGACGAATGAATTGTACAAGTGTTTTTCATTAGCAAGTGTAATTAAACTCAACCCTGAAAATTTCAAATCCCTAAAAACTCAATAGAGTCTGTAGATCGAGAATACGTACATGTGGTCCCAGCTAGCCTTCGTGTTCCTGTTTTGTAAGGGCAATGTGGAGTTATGGAGACGGCGAATAATGAAGCCTAATCATACGCAAGCTTATGGAGTCAAAATCGGTGTGCTGCCACATTTTTCTCTCAATTCGTTTTTATAATCTTGATGTCTCACTGACCCAAAAGCCATTGATGGAGGCATGTCCATTACATGCTTGTCCTCGTGTCGAGCAACGGCCCTTCACATGCCGATTCGTTTTTTTCAGTTGTCCAACATCTTCGGGGAGTTTCTTGCAGTTGTTAATCCGTAGACAAGGAAAATCGAAAATGCCAAGCTTTCTCTTTGCGATAATAACTGATGCAAAAGGCTAATTTACAAATAGACATTTAAATTGGTTTGGAATGCGAATCACGAACTTCCTAACGAATTCAAAACACTTAAATTGCTCTGTGTGACGTTAAGCTATATACGAGTAGATGACCACAGTTTGATTTGATTGTAGCCTGCTTTTTTTTCAAAATCAGCCTCTACGCGTCAATTGCTAATTTTTGAATCCAAATTTCCAGAAACGGAATTTTTTAACTAGTACTGACATGTGTATTTTGTTAACACGTATAGGCAAATAAATTTCGTGTATCACATTCAGCCTCAACAGCGTTTTTGTCTCTGTGGAAAAAAACAAAACGTTTTTGTAGATGCTACTTTTGCATTGCATGTCACGATTGACTCCAAACTAACGGTTACAAGCGTATTACGTGCAGTATTTCCTCCAAGGCAAGCGAAAAGTGCGATCTGTCATGTGTCAAAATAAATTCCCCATTTCTTGAAAACAATAATAATGCAATGTGCTTGCGTAAACCAAATTGGATTTACTATTGGCGCATTGTTTAAACATCTTCCCCGATAAGAGATGAAATTTAATGGAGCCAAATATTTGGGATTGCTGTAGCTGCGTGTTGAGATTTGCGTTTTAAGTTTTCAAAAAGTGTTGTTGAAAATACGCAGATGTTTTCATTGTAACTTTGACTATCCACCATTTTGGCAAATTAGCTGATCGATTTTACCATTCCATGGGGGACACATTCAACTTGTATCGCTTTGACACGTCGGTGAGTCCAACCTCAGCTCCCCGTCCCAACTACCTTGGCCTTCTGGCTTCGTTTTGCATGGTGGTTATTTCTTTTTCCTACCGCAGTAGTCCTTCACCTGTCTGTTTTGATGAAATGCTTTTCCTTTTATAGTTTTTTTGTAGAGAAATCTAACATTAAGATCGCAGGATGAAGTGCTTTTAGGCCACAGGTTGGCTGCTTCGTTCAGACTTATTTGTATTTATTTTCGCCTGCTCATTTACTTTGCGCAGAAACCACGCTGGCATATTTGACGTCCCATGTGTCTAAAATTGTTTTGGTCAGGAAACCTCACTGTATTATACCTGCGTAATTTATATCCTTTAGAAAATGAAATTTTTTAATTGATCAATTGAGGTTATGACATTATATTGTGTATGAACACCTCATGAGACCTTCCGCAAAGTTTCCACGAGCACCAACGTCATTTTCTTTCCAAATCAGACAAGTGAGAAGACTTTGAAAATACATTTTCATTAATCAAAGCAATAAATGGATTGTTGAATTGCTAGTCGTCTTTGAAGTTACTGAACCTCGCTTTTATAAATTCCAGTCTGAAAATTTATTTGCGGTATTGATGTATGATATATCCGCTTGCTTGGAGGCCTTCCATTAAACATTTCCATCGGTAAGACAAGTTCTACTTCCTTGCATTTGTGCTGTACTGTTTTCACACTCAAGACCCACCAAACATCAAATCTGCTTTTGAAAACCAATTGGGTTGACCAAAATATTCATTTAATAAAAAATACACTTGTGTATTTCGTAACAGGTAAATCCAGTGTTGCCACATTTCTAGACCTCTAAAGTAAACCACCCGCCTGGTGTTATTCCTTGAATTCCAACGCGCTCCTTTAATGTTACGATTTTTGGTGTTGTAATGCAGAATCAGTTGTTTTTGATGCATCTGCGTATGTGCTGAACACGGGATCACATTTCCCCTAATTGCGGAAACCCAACCTCACCCCAGCCACCAGTAGACAACCGCTTCCCGTGTGTTGAATCGGGTGTGCATCGTCACTGCCCTTTTTTAACCTTTTAGGTGTGCACTCCTCCATACACACACTACTTAGCTTCGGAATTCTATGCTGAAATGCCAGAGGGTTGAGAGTGGAAAAGTGTTTGACTTGGCTAAGTGACAAAAGTGCCTCGAATTATACAGCAAATTCTCAATTGAAAATAAAAGGCTCTACTTTACGCTGATTGGTTAGGTTCAAATTCAGCCAATCATACCAAAAATGAAAATATTTAACAGAACCTAGGGAAATATAATTCATGATGATTGGTGAATGGATTTTGTTTAGGATTAAAACTTGTGCCCTTTTTCATAATTAGGTCTATTGGCAGATGCAATATCCCGAAATGCGCAAATGCGTGCATGTTAGCCTGTCGTCAGTTATGTGGAAACATGAACGTATGACTACCTAGATTAATATTACGGAAGCCCACGCTAGTTGTCTCTTCGTACTAAGTAGTTCATTCGAAACTTAAGGTGGATAAGCCAACTTTTCTTGGATAAGCGAACTTTTCTGACCCTTACTTTTGTCGTTTACCGTAACCCCTTGATTGTTAAGCGCCGTCGATTCGTTATTCGTGAGCCACATCATGTGGGGTGGATGAGTCTGATTCGTGACAGAACTCGCGATTCTTGATTGAGAGGTTGTCATCATAAATTCACGACGTTTTGCGCTTCTCACCACTTCAGCAAACATATGGGAATAAGGTTAAATTTCGTGGACTCTACTCATCGGATTTATCGCGCGAAGTGTACACGTTTCTGAGGATTAACTGGCCACCACCTGGCCGTTTATGTTGACACGAGCTGCAAATGTGTAGAAGAATGCGTCAAATTTTCGGCTTCACAGGTTTCAGTCAATAGTGTTCTTTTAATTAATGGCTCTTTTTATTCCAGCAACGCATGGTTTCCTCATTTTCGAATTGCGGCAGTTCGTACAGGGATACACAATCATGGTTTGCTGGTTGGATTTAGCTAATGGCGGCAAATTAGGGAGACCACTAATTACTTTTTAGCGTTCACACAGCCACCCATTAGCGTCCAAGCAATGCTACTGACATAAAACACCGTTTCGAATCCAGCAATGTGAAGCTTTAGTGTGCGAAAAGTGTTCCGTTATCCCAACGACCAGTTTATGGTACCACCAGACTTACCTCACCAGCGGGTTGTTATTTATGAAAGCAAGCCAATCGCACAAGTGACCTTGTCAGCTTATTAGTGGACAAAAATCATAGAAGCTAACAACCAAAAGGTAGTCTGCCCACACTTGGAAGCCTAAGAACCCTACTTCCTGTGGCAAACAATCCACTTAAGCACTAATATATCTCCTCGACATCGTGAATTGAATCACATTGAAGGTGGTGAATGAGCCCTATTACAACCGTTCAAATAATGTCATGATCGCTGGTCTTTTGGCCCCCTTGAAGTTTGTTGGTTTTTAAGAGCGTAACTTGGGAATTTACTAGGGCTCTACAAAAACAAGTTTCGCTTGCACAAACGACGCGTTGCTGACTGCTTTCCCTCGCGGAATCGCGGGGTTACGTGCCGACGAGGCACCTCATATGTCGAAAATGCCCTTTTAAACCTGACGGCTGCCTTTTTCGTAATCCACGGGTCGAAGATACGTGTCGTAGTTGCAAAACCCTTTCAAACGGTCAGACAACTCATCTTCCTACTTTGGGGCTGCATTCTCTGATTGTGTCCAATTCCAAAATCTGTTTGTGAAAACGCAACTTTGAAGGTTTGTGTAGCTTTGTACTTTCCGAGGCCACGTGATGTAGGTCATTATAACCATTAAGCCTGCAGAGTCGCTGACTTAGAATGCAATGTCAAAGTATTTGGACTCGAAAGTCATTGCGAATTTCCAATCGGAACCAACGCATTACTCGGCAGTGTCTGAGGGCCTTTGAATTTTATTTTTACTTTCAAAAGAAAACAATTGCTAAGGCAAACGAATCATGTGATAGTTCTGCGAGGGGAGTATTTGGCGAATAAGTCAGTGTGTTGTTTTTTGTAATTTATAAGGGAGGATGCACGTTCTGCGTATCATGCCTACAAAAACGCACTTTTGCTGCAACATGAAAAGAAAGCCTTTAAGTTACTTTCTTCGAAATCTCGGGGATAAAAATTTGACATCTACTAAAGTAAGGCACACATGAAATTCAAATGTTATGTAAAGGGGTTTGTAAAGAATCCGATTAAGCGCATCTGGTTGAAAAGACGTTAATCCGTACTCTCGGCATCACATTCTCGCCAATCACTCAGAGGCCGGTTCTTTTATGCACTAATTTTGATGCATGCATTGAAATTTCGGTGCACGTTTCTCATACGATATGGTTATTGAGTCGAGTTTGTAGTCATACCATCGGGCAATCACAGAATTTGCATTGTATTGAATCCCAATCCCACCTCTTATCGAAGGAAAAGCCTGTAGCTAAATGTGCATTAAAGGAGTAACAAGTTTGTCTAATCTGCTTTGGGGTAAAAGTACGCTCACGTCCCGCCACATGTATAGATATATGTGCGTAAAGCCACCTCCCAGATCCCAAGACCTATCACGTCAGACCAGGTGTCCCTCTGCTGTTCTACACTGACGCCTTCAGGTGCATTTTCGATTCCGGTGGTTAGCTGATGCGACAACGTGCCCTCCAGGCCGTGGGCGGCATTTTCATCTGATCAGGATGTAAATGGCTTCCGGTCTGTTAAATTCTAGCACGAAGGCGCGCTTTTCCACTAAGTTAGGTGACGGCCGTGTTTGTGTGTGTGCATGCGAATGTACTTTATCGATGTCGGCCGAAGTAGTCGGTGCACATGTTTTTATTTGTTCAGGTCGTGTTTAGCGATTTGACCTCAAGTCAAATAACACATTCACTGTCATATTTCAACCGCTGCCTCCGAGTCTCGATATGGAATGGTTTTAAATACAAACATCTGAATGTTGAATGGGTGTGACTTCAAACCAAACACCAGAGATTCCAAGGGTTTGTTGCAATCTACATGGTCCAAAACTATACCAAAGTATTTGTTTTATTGAAGTATTCAGTCAAGGAGTATCGCATTTGGACAGCTCAAAGAATGAGTTGAATTACAAGGTTTTAAACATGGTGTGATTCCAGTGGTGACGGTGACTCTATTTATGCTATCAAATGAAAATAGGTCTCTTTAAGGTTTAGACCTTTTATGATATTGCTCATATTTTTTAGGTCACTAGACTGAGTTTTAAATGCGGAAAGATAAGCTCAGACTAATGTCCCCTTCGAAATCATCCTTAGCTAAAACTGAGACATATATGACCTCACTTTAGAATTCGGATGTTTGTGTGTTCACTTCCGTCTCCCTAGTGGAGTCGTTAGGGGCGAAACATGTCTCTGTGGTCGAATTCTTCAACATCCCATGTGCATATTTTTCAAAACGTTGAGAGTTGTTTCTTTGGTTTACGAATGACCCTGAGAAGTATTTGGTCCCTTGAATGTCTGCCCATTCCGTCTGCATAGGCTCACCACCAGCGCCAACAACGGAGATGACGACAGTGCGGAGCCAACAACAACCGAAAGATCAAGCTCCCCAGACTCCTCAGCCATCGGCCTCCCAAACGCGCAAGTGGCCCTCATTCACGATGCGACGCCCGGGCCGCCTGAGCTCGACCTCCTCCTCCTCAGCCAGCGCGGCCCACGGCCCGAGGGGCAAATACAGGCCCATAACTCCCGGTATCGCCACTTCCGTCGACAGTGGCGGCGGAAGTTTGCTGCGGTCCTTTTCGGCCGAGCGTCATCGTGTTGTCACACCCACAGGTGCGCCGACACCCTCGTGCACCGTGGACCCAGCAACGCCGGTCTGCACGGCCACTGGCGCCTCCAAGCCCTTCGTCGTGCGGTCCGCCAGTTCACCGCACAGGAAGCCTTCGGATGACAACTCGAGGTACTTTTCGCTGGGAGTCGACAGGATAGACTCTACGGAGGTAAGCTCTCTTACTTGGGCTTCGGTGCATTAGTTTGTCATTTACGTCACCTGGAGTTGATGTCTTCTTACACTGCGGGATGATTTTTTATTGTCTGCAACGGAACCCCTCGGCGATTTGTTTTGGCAATCTGGGCATTTCGGTTACCCTAAGGTGCGTTCATTTAGACCTAAATTCAGTCACTTTTGGTTAGACATGTGGTTTCTTTACGGAATGGCGCGTGATTAATGACATCAAAATTACCATCTTTAGGCTAAACAAGGTCATTACTCTTTTAGCCATGTTTCACAGAAATTACGGTGATGAGTGTCATGTCGTTTTACTGCTCAATTTTGACTCATCGACTGGGGAATTGTCCTCTGGTGTATGCTATCTTAACGTTATCAAATCACCTTGGCTTATTAACACGTTACTGTTTTTCCTAATTGACCAACTTAAATTCCCTCTGATCTATGGTAATGGCGTGTCTTTTAATGGACTGGGTACCAGGATTGAGGCGTTGGGAGGCAGCTGAATTGATGCTTTGTGGTGATTTGATAGACGACCCACCAGGGTTACACCAGATGCCTGGTTTATTGCCCCTCAGGTGGGAAGACAAACCCTCATGGGTTTCGCTTGTCGCACGAGTGTTCTTTTCTCTCAACATTTCAACATTCCTCGTCTTGAATGAATTGCCCCCCGGGGCAAATTTCTGCGCACGATGTCATTCATTCACACCTTAAGTAGGTAGAATTAACGGAATAAAGTTTTAAAGCCAGTTAGAGCACCACATCGAATTAAAAATGTTGTTGCTGTTGAACTACTTATCGGAAAAGAGAGCAGAAACGGCTTCGGTCTGGGAGGAGTGTGTGGTTACCTGTTTCTGAACTAATTACAAGCGCCACTTTTCTGAGACTATGAAGGCTTCCGTTGAAACCCTCTGCACATGCCAATTTTCCCTTCATGTGACCGCTTTTTTTATCAGGAATGCCTGGCATTCATCGAGACCTTAATCCATGAAAGTAGCAAAACTGAAATGTGTACTATAAGGCCTAAAGTTACATAGGAAATTGTTTTCATGTCCAGTGCCAAATGTTTAATAGCCTGTAGCCTGAAATTCCACCAAAGATGGATACCTTTTTGTCGGTAGTAGCGAGTGAAGGTCCCATTGTATAATGTTTTCCTGGCTTATTTTTAGTTAGGTGCTGTTTACCGTACAGCAGGGCTAAGTAAACACGCCTAAATAAGCTGGACAGGGCTGAGATTAAGCTGGCGAGTCAAAAAGCAGTGGTTAACTTACTAGCCACACTCAATGCGCGAAAATCCGACTTAATTTAATCGGAGTGAAATTGCTTCAAGCGGTAATCATCTCCGCTTAAGGTCACCCTATAATGCGTTTTGGTGAGGTATCGGGAGCATCAAGATTTGTGTCTGTCATCCATCGAATTAAGAATTGATCTAATCATAGCTAAATAGGAAAAACAGCTCTAAGAAATTAAATCTAAATGTCAAAATTACCCAGAAATCTCAAAATCTCGATGAACCTTCTAGCTGCTATTCTATTATTGTTCATAGCTGTCAAACAGGAATTTACATGCCAGGCAGCTTAAGTGTGGCCCTGCCTCGACCTGTAACAATTGGCCATCTGAAGTCGATCGTAATTTAAGTCATTTTGGTGGAATGCCCACCACTTTTATAATACTTGCTTCCATAGCAAATGATGAAACTTCGTCACATGCAGCTAAATTGGTAGTCCAACACGAATTCAGTAAAGGTGAGATCATAATACAGCATGCCCCAGCCAGCCATTAAGTTTTTTTCTGAATTAAATAGAACAATGCATGTGGAAAGTGATTTTGGGTCACCAGATTTCCAAACACTATGGCCTGGTTTCGCGGTTCTCTGTTTCATGTTCATCGCCAGTGTCGACTTAACATTGACTTATTTTTTTACGTAAGTGTACTGAGCGTAGGCCAGACTCTACTCGAAAAATGAGATACTATTCAAGTAAACAAACGAATTATCTAGGAGACTTTCTGGCCCCTATGCCGATGATTAAACGCAAAAATTAGGTTTCTAAACAGCTCGAATTTTTCGCGGCTGTAAATGGACCACAAATCGCGTTGTCGTCACCGTTAGTAGAAGAGGCGCTCGATAAAAATAATTTCCGCTAAGCCTGGCAAGAATAAAGTTTTGATTGGCCCTTGTCCAAGGCCGTTAATGGATTGCATTGAGCCAGAACAAAATTGACTGGCTAACGCCACCAGCCCTTTTGGTCTTCACGCTAATGTATCGCAGCGAGTATATTTTTGATTTTTAATGTTCATATTGACCTTGATGACTATCAACGCGCGACGGTTTTGGTTGTTAAAAACATTTAAAGGCAAACGATGGTCAGTTTTAAAATTACGATTGCTCCCTGCCTAAAGTGACAATGGGTTGTGCATATTTTGTGGGCTCTGTGACGGTTCTCATATTGTTAGCTACTGGCCTTTCTGAAATGCGGTGATCGTCGCGTAGCGCTTTTCAAGCTACGTGGCAGCCTGAAATAAACATTAGGTAACAACCACGGGTGTGCATATCTTATTTATGTAAGCCTGTGCATGAACCTGTGGAATTAAATCCAGAAATTGCAGAATCAAATCTATTACTTAGTGCGATGAGCAGTGATTGTAGGGACCTACTGTCAGACCTTGTTTTGACCTGGAAAGTGATGTTCGCGATGTGTAGGTGCAGAACCTAGTTTACAAGAACCTAGCACACTTACCTACAAGCTTTAATTGGGTTTTTAAAAGTGCATTGACGGATTACCTTATCCAACACCAAATGGTTCAGTGGAATGCAAAAATCCTTACTTTTTAGACCTTCAAACTCAAAGGGATGGCCACACATTAGCTATTGAGCGACAACACTTTCCTTCGGACCTGAATTCCCTTTCCTGGGAAGATTTGTTTTTTTTCCTGAATTGTGGAAGCCCCTTTCATCATGGAAAGTTGCCTTTGGTGGCGCATTAAAGTGGGCTTCACTATGAACGTTTTAACTGAGGTTGGTGTGGTCAACAAAATTATTTAAAGTCACCATTGCAGCAAGTGTGTGTCTCCTGAGACACACGTCAGCCAGAATCCCAGCCACTCACCATTCACCACTGAGTTTTAGTGTGAGTTCGATTCGATTACGGAACGATTCAACCTGCTGTCTGCCGTTCCCAAGGACAAGCCTATTGGGTCTTATGGCGTTTATGTAGCTCGTGTTAAGGACGACTCCCAAGATTGCCTGTCTGTGCACAAGCATGCACGAAAGTCCAAGTGTCCATGCGCAATGTTTCAGTGGTTCCGTTTTCACAAATTGATTTTTAGCAATTGGGCTTCTCCCCAGTGCCGACACTCGTTGTTCGTGATTTCACTAAAGTGACGAAATGTGAAATTAACATGGCCCCGAAGAATGCAGTACTTCGTAAAAGTCGATTTTCTTGCATTTGTCAAGGCGTGGAAACTAGCTTCAGGCGCACTGATCCAGCACGCCAGAAAGATGCACGATGGACATTGCGCGCTCTGAGGACCCTTGGCAAAACATTGTTAAGATGGTGGGACATTTTTGCCAGACCGAGCAGTGTTTGCTATCCACATACGCACACATTTGTCCAAAATTTATCGACATAGTTAAATACCCCGATACCTTCTTGAGCAAGTTTACATAAAACACATTTTAGCGCTTGATATAATATTTGGGGTCCCATACAGGGCTGCCAATTCAAATTTTGGTGACCGTTTTAGTCTGCAGGACCTGACCCTCATCGGAATTCGGTTGGCTTCCAAAAAACCAAGAAAGTTTTCACCAACCTCTTTTTTGGCAAACACTCCAAGAAGGCTCGCAGTCCTGCAACCACGCCAACCGCGATCACACCAGCCCAGCATCCCTCCCTTCCACCACCGACTCCCTCCGTACCCACTCCTCGACCGACGAAAAATCGGTCTGATCAACTCCCCCCTCCAGTACCTCACCCGACTTCTCTCGGGGACGTCTCCGACTGTTCTTAGTCGCGGTCGCCCGCACAAGTGTGTACATGACGGTTCTTTCACTCCCCTTCACTCTTGCCTACCAGTACCCCCTTAGTAGTAATCCAGTGCCCTCCTGCGTTTCACTCCACCAATAAGATCATGCTGTACATATTTTCACCAGTCAACTTTCTCGTTTGTGTTTTTTTCGCAGGCCTGGTTTATTTTTGTATGCATTTGCTCTGCCCACACTCTGCCTCTCCCAGCCTCCTTGCAATAGCTGTGTTGTAGACAACGGGTTTTCCGTCTTGCCGCTTTCTACCCACTGATCTCAGATGACTTTGTTGACACAGAGCACTCTGTGCGGGCCTGGTGGGTGCGCACCTGGTGCCACCCCACCCCGCCCCTGGCCCTTCACACCCCCCTCGCGACCCCCTGGCCAGAAGACCGCACCGCGCCTGCGAGATCCTCCTCGCGCGTCATCACTTGTCGCTTTTTTCTTGCCGCTATTCTTTTTAATGATAATAATGAAATCGTTCATGGTGAACACTATAAAGTTAATATATAACGTCCTTACGCCTTGCCGTCTTCAATACTTCGATGCACGCTACACGAGGCAGGGAATTTGGCTAGTCGGATTTCGTGCGATTAAAACATTCTCTTATGGTGGCTAAAGGTGACAGCCGTAAGTAGCCAAATCTCCTCTATCCAAAATGCACCTAATGTGTCCCAGGAACACCTCGGTATGTGATGCAACGTGATCCACAAACTCGGAACCAGACAATGTACATCAATATGAAGCCTGTTATTACGCGCTTCGTCGTTTGATGCAAAACACGAGCTCTTCCCTCTACGAAATTAATAATATTTAACACTTCGCAACTATCGGGTCAGTTTGTCACTAACAGCAAGTTGTTAACTTTTGCGCAAGTAATTAAGACGTCCTGGATCATTTTGCTTCTTGGAGTGATAATATTATGCCTGTCCGACACGGCGCATCTTTGAGATCGCGTTATAAAATCTTTTTGAGGCCGAAAGAGCTGTCAATACGTTTAAAAATGCTGCAAGTCATGCAATTCTTTTGACGGGTTTTTTATTAAAGCTGAATCCTCCTGTCAAACTGCGGTATTGCACAAAAGTCGTTCTGTCAAATTTTGCTAATTTTGTCAATTAGTTGTTGAGCAAAACATGAATTTAGGCCACACACTTTGCATTTTCGCAAAACGCCGGAACAATCACGATGATTTTGTGGGTAAATATGGTTTCTCATTACTTCCCAATCCTAAACGTACTCACTGATAAATAATTTTGTTATTACCATGCCTCAAAAAATGGGTCATTGCACCTACGTGAGTTATTTTAGCCCGAGTGAAGCTGGCAAGACAGCTTGAGAATGTGGTGATTTAGATCGAGATTTACTGTTGTAGTAAGCAAGGATGTCAATCCGCTTTAATTCCTGACTTTCACTCAGCATTGCGGATTGATGATGCATTGGGCTCTGGCACGGCAAAAGTCGAAATTTATTCACGGCGATGCCATTTTTACAAAATCTGACACAAAAGTCGCAGTTGGCAAGGACGTGACTGCCGCTAAACATGAAGCCTCTGCATGCAGCAAAGTGTGTAAAAGTGCTATAAATAACAGTGACTGAATAAATGCTTAGCCATGGTTTCCTAAAATTACCCCTCATCAGGCCCAAGCCCCAAGGAGGCGAGGAGGTTTTTTTACAAATAGTTGATTTAAGCCTGTGTACAATCGTAAAGTTTGAACAAAACGCGCGGACATTATGGGATTAGTTTTTCACCTGCTACTTGACAAAGTACCTATCACCCTTGTATCACTATTCTAAAAGACGAATTTTCTCTTAACTGTCTTGATTACTGCAATCAATAATTGGTTGCTTTAGGCCTGCTCATTAAACTTGGTCCTACTAAATGTTTCCGAGTTTAACATACACAATTTAAAATGTTTTGCCCTTAAACTTTATGGGTTCACTTTAAACCTCGACTGGAGGTGCATTTTGACAACATATGTCTGCATTTGCCTTTACTCTTGGAAAAACCCACAATCTATTTCAGTGATTGGCGTAAGCACGTAGTTAAGATATAGTTCTCAATGCTTTGATTGTCTAGCCAACCATAAACCACATTAAAATATCTTAAACCAATGGCAACCATAAATCGCGTTTCATTACGGGTTCATTTAAAGACTGAATGGGAGTTGACACAGAAATGGTGCTTCCGTTAAAAAGCTACTGAAAATTTGTGGGTAACTGTGTTACCATGTCTTGTGAAGAAGCTGAGGCACACTCTGTAAAACCTTGTTACTTGTTCTTCGAATATGCATCACTCAAGTATTCTGTTGCAATAATCTTAGGTGGATTCTTGAAGAACAGCTGCCATGATATACATTTCGGGGGCCAAAATTCTCACATTGTTTTGTTTAAAATTTCTATGTCCTGAATTTTCGCTTGAATAAACACATTTACCTGATTTTTGTTTGGATTAAGTGTAAAGGGAAAGATTACGGCACAAAGCATTTAACAATAAATCAGAAAAAGCATATACCAATGGAACTCCTTGTTTGTACACACTCAGAAATCGATTAGACTGCAAAGTTCAAATCCTGCTGGTTTAATCGCAATAAAATTTACTCGTTTTGAATTTTTTCCGCATAAAAGTTGGTCAGTGCTGTTTCACTGAGAGCCTATTTGTGGTAACATTTTTCAATTTGTTTTTGTACAGACTGGCTTGTGCTTTACACCTGCATGGCACTTTTTGGAGGGACAGTTTGTGCCTTACTGATCCACCTTAAGTAAAGCAGAAAAGGATCAAATCTTCGTATTTCTGCTTTAGGCTGGTCACAAGGAAACAAAGTCTAACCTTTTTACATTAGAAATTTTCCATGTGCCACACCAACCACAATTGAAACTAAGTGTACCCTAGCTGAACACCTAAGATGTGTGATCGCAATGCTTTCAGTTACGAATTTAAGCAATGGTAAGCGCGTTTGATGCTGGTGTATCTTCAACGCTCTGCTCTGAAAACGTATTTCAATTTAAGGTGTGTAGTGAACGAAAAAAGCAATGATATTCACCAATTTTTAGGTCACTGTGAACCCCACACCGCACTTTCATTTCAAACCGGTTATTGCTATTATACAAATGATGTCAGAGTTACTTTCAATAATTTTGGGAAATATGTGTAAATGTCCAACAAATTTCAGGCAAAAATACTTCAGATGGGTTGGTTTTCCCTCGAAGTCGCCATTTTGGCGGATATAACTCTCATTGATGTGTCAGCATTTAAACAAAAATCTCTGAAAATAATACCGTCACTGAACGCCCGGGTTATTCGTATTGTCTGGCTTGGCTAAACTAGTTATATGGCAATCAGCAAGCCAGCACAGTTTGCAAGCGTGAGCGAACACGATTCAATCGATTTACGTGAATGCACATTACGTAGTTATGTTCACTCGTAGATCAATGCTTAGCGAAGTTATATAAATGCACTTGTTATCTTGTGCGGACACACCTCTTTTCACGACTTACTATACGGCTGCTCCTTCGTTATTTCAGCCCCATTTCTTGCTATGCCATGCCGAAACAAATTGGTGACCCCGACATGGACCATCAAGAAAGCAAACCTTCAATTACCCTGGAAGAGATCGGCCTAAAACAGCCTCCATTCTGGCCAATTTCCGCTCTGTGTTGTTTCTCCGTTTTGGAAACGCAATTTCATGGCGCCAACATTGTCAGCCAACGTACAAAGTACCCTCACCTGCTCTCTACTTTGAGTAGCGAACTGGCCACCGAGGTTTCGGATGTGCTATTTTACCCCAACAACGACCTTCCTTACGACCAATTAAAGGCACAAATCATGAAACGTACGCAAGTGACCACATTGAAACTCATTAATCAACTTTCATCCCGCGGTGATTTGGGGGACTTGAAGCCAACACAGATCCTGAGGATGATGTGTCACCTCTCCAACGACGAACCTTTGTGAGGTACATTTATGAAAAGGATTTTCCTCGAGCGATTTCTAAGCAATATCCGACTCATCCTTGTCCTCATGGCTGATCTTCAACACTATAACAGTTGGCGGATATTAGAAGCAATGAAATTGGCTCATATCTCCCAAATTGACCAAAGGCTCCAAAGACAATCTAATGCTTTTTTGTCCGTGGGCGCATGCAAAACACCTGCCTCCTTGAAGAGTCGCCTAGCCAGGATCGAATCAGCGGTCGACGCCTTGACAATCAACGATTCACAAGGGAGAAGATGCAACAACTCATTTAGACGGAACCGCTCACATTCTCGCCGTGGATCCTTTTCACGCTTCTCGCCCGGAGGTTTGTGTTGGTATCATGCGACCTTCGGCCGCGCAGCCCGACAGTGTAGGCCTGTTGGGGATCCACGATTCCCCAAGATTGCTCATCGTTGGTTTCTGGCACTACTAACACTAATTCACAAACATGTTTTATTACGCTTTTTATCAGGTCAAGGTCAACCTTGACTCGAATTAGTTTCACTTTTGACAACCTACTCCGCACGTGGCCGACGTGATTAAAGCACTCTACACAATCTACAGTCCCAGAATGACGCATGGAAAGTCAGACCTCTCACCCGCAAACTGAGCCCGGCTGAACTGAAGACATACACAGACATGATTCTCCTCCAGTCCTCGTTCGACTTCACGTTTGGAGAAACCGCTCATGATCTCAAACGAATGGTTGGAGAACGCACCTCCTTGTTCAGTTCTCGGTACCAATGCTTCAAACTCGCAATAGGAGAGTTTGACAACTTCCTTGACCATCAAGCAGTGGTTAATCGAAAGTGCGAGAAAAGTCAATTCAAATCAATGACTGATGACCAGCTCAAAACTCTTATTCTCATATGCAACCATCAAATACCTAAATACACGGATCTGCGAATA